TTAAGTGTAGGTTAGGTACATAATGTAATAATATATACGTCGTATAGATACGAAATAAAACACAAAAAACGAATGTCGAAGAAATGGACTCGTTAAACGGGGAAAAAAAAAAAAAAAAAAAACTTTAACTTGACTTTAACTCGTTTAACGGCCAGCCTTGAAGTTTACCGGTGTCTGGTCACCAAATAAAATAATTATTGCGGTCTCCGGCGACCCGTGAGTATAAAACCCGGCAGACAAGCGGTCGTTTCTCGTTTTTCGACATTCGGCCCGAAGATTCGTTGTCGGCGATAGAGACTGGCCGCAGCTGTTGTGCCCGTTAATAGTCGCATACTATAACGTCACCGTTGAACCGCAATAATATTATAATATTATTGTTTTTTATTTTTTTTCATCCCGCAATGAGCGTCCGTAGTGCACATTGTCACTAGGGGGCCCCGTGTACCAATCGGCTCCGATTCCCGCCACGAGACGTGCCGATTTCGTTCAACCGGTGCCATATTACCTATTATTCCGCCGGTTTAACCGATACTCTATCGCGGTCTTAAATAACGATATAAGGTCCTATGATCATACATAGTGCTTATTCATATCGGTCGTCCGTTTGTGTACCGAGGCGGTTTATGAGTTGGCGTATACACAAACCGTTGACTGAAAAAAAAAAAAAAACATTACATTGTTGACGTGATTTGAAATACATTTTGCCGGAATTAAATGCACTTATGAATTACGCGAAATATGTTACATTTTGACGGGTGCGTGCTGTAATAATATATAATCGAATACAAATTATACATTTTCATACGAGCACGCACAGTCCTCAGGCAATTTGCATTACTCGAGCGGCGGTTTAACGAGTGCAATGCAACTCTTCGAATTCCGTCGCCCATACAATTTATTCGTTTTCCCGTGCGAGACGTTACGGCGGCCACGATTTGTCGGATAACTTTATAGGATTTCGGATATGTTACTTTTAGAAATTCTCGACAACAATCTAGTTGCCTTTTGGATTCCGAGCGGAGTGAGGAATGTATTGGTTTTACAATCATGTTTATTTTTTTGTTATTTTTTTCTGTAGATAAGTTTTCTACCGGCAAATTCGCCCAGATTTTCAATGATAGCGCTTTTTCTGAAAGCTTATCGGACCGGAGAGGTAAAAGTAATTTTTTTGATTTTCCCAAGAGTTTTCTCAATAAACAAAAAAAAAATGGGAAAATCGGTACATTAAACAAATATTATTTAAAAAAATATACAATGCGTGTGTTATTATTTTTCATGATATGACATAGTGACAAAGTAGTTGACAAAGCAATACTATCAACTGAATTCCGTTTAAAATCGGTTTTTCGTTGGCAATGGTTAATCATTGTTTACAGATATCCATTAAATTACCTTTAACAGTGGCCGCATCTATTCTCATTACCTAAGGACAACTTTTTAAAACTGTAACTAAATAATTTTAATTATTATAAATGAAAAAAAATGTAATACAGCTGATCGCTGATGGGTATGTCATTATTGTTGATGGAAAGTTGAAAAGGGAGGACAATTATAGAGCAGTATAATTTATGTTTGTACGCAACAATAAATTATTTGCTGATGAAAAACGATTCTGAACGAAACTTAGTTTAAAAGGATTGGAAATGCTGTAATTTTTACGTAATTTAAATTAAAACGCTTATAAAAAAAACTTTATTAAACTCAACATTTTTTTTACCAAAGAGTACAAATTATAATGAAATAGAAGTTGAATTTTCAAGTATTTCTGTTCAGACAAAACAATTACATTTATATAAAACCAAATAAAATTGTTTTGAAAATTTGACCAATGACCATGTATAGAAAAGGCTAACATACAAGTATTCTGTATTTTTGTGAAATTTTCAGAATTCTTAGAATAATTTCTAATCTAATTAAAACATTTCAAAAATAATGAAGTTGCAGTTATCACTGTACACCATATACAAGATTTTTCCCGAATTATCGGAGCAAAATTTTCGATTTAAAAGTTGCACACACAGTACACAGACAGAAAAGAAATAAAAAAACTGACATATTTCGCGCGTGAATGGTCCACTGTTATAAGTGAGAGGTTTCGAAGGTAATAGAGGAGACATTTTATGTATATCTATATACAAAGATTAACTATTGCTTACGAATAAACGATTCTGAGCGGAATTTGGTTGATTTGGCAACAATATATATATCATATTATGATAAAAAAATTACATACGCATTATATATTTTCTTTAATATTGTATCTATTTTTCGTTTTTTCCTACGTTGTTCCCGGTTTTCCCCTGTTTATACGATTTTTCTCATTTTTTGGGAAAAATCCTGGGAAAATCAAAAAAATTACCTCCCTAATGTACTACCTCTGTCAGATTTCCTTTCATAAAAAGTGCTATCATTGTAAATCGGAGCAAAATTGCGAGTAGAAAAGCTGTACACAGAAAAAAAAATAAAAATTAAGTATCATTGTTAAACTATTACATTACACGCTCCAATCAGTATTTAAAATTTGAAATACTTGACGTACATGAAAAAATGTAATATTGACATTCAAACGTACACCTCTACCTGTAAAATCGTTTTGTTTTTCTTTTCTTTTGGCATTCGTCTCTGATTCTCGTCCTCCATACCTTCCGATCCGTAAAAAATATTTCATAATATACTCGCCATATAATGCCCTTATATCTCCCTGAAATCCTCCTTAAATAATCCTCTACTTTTTCTTCGAGCCGCCTCTCTTCCGGCTCTAAGCTACACTTTTTAGACGTAAGTATAAAATAATAGTGCAATTTTCTATAACCGCAGTACTGATAAACGAAACAAAAATAATGATTTTCGAGAAATATTACAATATATAGAGAGATGACGACCACAGACGTTATTATACTATTATGTAGGTAGGTCACCTAAATATCAGATCAACTGTCGAATTCACGTAAAACGATCATTCCGCTTTATTAACCGTTTTTATTTTTCAAAGAATAACCGCAATAATATATCTCAGTAGGTACAAATTAAAATAAAAAGTAGGTAACTGAAAACAAATTGAATACTTTATTCACTTTACAAATCAACGCATAACTTAACAAAACAATTTTTGTTTTTGTTTTTTTTTTAAATACTTACCGATTTTATCGGCAATTATGAAAATTAAAACGAAAAAGGGAACAAAATAGCAAAGTAAACATTTTTTTTTTTTTAAAATAGAAAAAAAGCTTCACTGTTATACCAATATATTTCTCGCTAATAGGTACCTATATGTTATATAAATAAAACTAATGGAGGCATTGGTACTTACAATTTTCAATCTAATGATTGGTTCGCAGCAATTCCCATACTTCTCTAATGTTGGCTTTCCCCTTCGTTTCCCAGTATCAATTGCACTCCGCATCTTCCATTATCCGAAAATATGATCCATTCAATTATTTTAGCTTTGTATGATGTTTGGCTACAACGAGCTTCTTTGGAAAACTATTCGACCAGTGATCCCATCGGACGAATAATATTTATTATTGTCGTTTCCGCGGACAGTCGTACGTCATACATGATCGAAATAGACAATCCAGTATTATTTTTTACGCGCGGCTTGACATCAAAAATATTATAAATTGTCGTTGTGCAATGTTTAAAAAAAAAAATAATAATAATAATAGTAATAAAAAACTCGCGTGAACCGTAAGTCGTTTTGTATATTGTGTAGACGGAAAAACAAAACGCCGAAATGACGTGTCGACGCGAATTCACCGAAGACGCGATACGAAATATTTTCAGTTGGAAAAAAAAAAAAACGCACACGTAAAGCAAATTAAACAAAAACGCCGAAAATACAATAATAATAAATAATTATGTCCCTGTAGTTTTGCTGAAAGGAAGTGGAATAGCTACAACTATGAACGTGATTATAACGTGTTTTATGTTGTTTTTGTAGTCGCGTCGTTGCGGACGGAAACGTTAGGAGCGGTAAAACCGATAAAAATCAAAATACGATTCATAATAAAATATAATAACTATACAGCTGTGAAACATTATAGCAATGCAATTAGAATATTATAATTCGTAACTATTAACGGACGGTAAGTATTGCGCATTCGCTTTTGGTACTTACATTTTCGTAGTACGGGTAGGCATGCATGTAGGAAATTTAATTGTTAATTACTGAGGAATTTGTCGGTGTCGCTTATTATGGCCTCCCCGCCCTTTTTTTTTTCTGCTTATTTTACCGGAAATCTCGCTCCGTTTATCGACTTCAGGAATTAGGAAACAGGAAAGTAGTTTCTGTTATCGAAATTTCGTCTAGTCGGTGTATCGGGGTGACATTTTTTTCAATTTTTTTTTTTTTTGCAGTTTTATTAATAACCAGAGAAAAATTACACGCAATAACGGTTTCTCTTATGCTCTATTTGTTTTTTTTTCAAATTTAGTTTAAAGTAATCGTAGAGACCTGAAATTTTTACCGAATAATGGAATGTTATACATTTAAAGCTCGTTAATAATATTGTTGTTTAAATGATAAAAAGAAAAAAAAAATAATAATCGCGAGTATTATAATAGGTTTTTTTTTTATAATCCTTTAAAGTTGACAATTTTACAAAAATCACGGCGTTCCACGGCGAATTTTTTTCGAATTTTTCGCAAATGAAAATATTATTGTGGCTTATAACCCGTTGTAATATTTAATCAGTAGTCGGAGTACACCAAACAAGGATTTTTTTTTCGTGAGTTTATATCATACTAATGACTACTGATTAAATATTATAATAGATTATAAGCCACAATAATATTCGCATTCGCACAAACTTCAAAAAACTGTTGGAAAATAAAAGACCATACTTAAACAAAAGTTTCAACCAATGATTAAACGGTATTATAAATTAAATTACTGCATAATATCGTACCCGAATTTTATTTTATTTTTCGCATAAAGTTCGTGCAAAACAATCGTTTCGAAAACGAGTTCGTATAACGTCGCGCGTGCGATTATAACGGATTCAATTCCGTAAGTATGTAAATAAGCATTTTCGCAGGTACACATAAAGGGATATAATTAACGATTGCAAATGAGAATATTCGTTTTGTGCTCGGGATGCGAACGCATATTTTTTAATCGAGAATTCAGAGGGTTCTCGGGAGTATTTTATTCGTAAAAGACGATAATCCGGAAATTCGGGTGATCCGAGAAACACTAAGCAAGGCAAACATTCGTACTCGGTGATCATTTTGGACGAACCGTACCCGGCGAATCCGGATTTCGGAATGCCGTCCATAGCGTAGTTGTCGTACAAGGATTCGATTGGATTTCTAGGCAACTGCTGGAAATACCCGAGAAGTGCCAGCGGCGTTGGATTTCTCTGAAACCCTGTAACGCGGAAAATGTCTACTATCCCGGCGAAAAAAATATATATAGACACGTGCGAGCTCGTAGAAACGCAACGATGCGTCACGCCAATGCAGTAAAATAGAAAACGTTCTTCTAATCGTCTTTGGCAGTGGTTGAATGCTCTCGGGGTTCGGTCTTTGCGCCGCCACCATAACTTTTCGAATGTCTCGTGACTCGCGAAAGTTGCAGGGTCGAACACGTGGGCGCGTAACCGTCGGTGGTAGTGGGGTAGGGGTGGGCTTTAGGGGTTACGAGCAAATCCCGAAAAACAACGCGGTGAATGTCGCGATTTCGTGGAAGGGTGTTTTCAACGGATCGAAAACTACCCCCGCACAACCCGGTCACCTTTAATACGCGGCCGCACCCTTTCGGTGCGGTAACAACGGCGACCGGACAACCGCCGCCGATGGCGTTACATGACAGGAATTCTATTATTTGTGACGCGCGCGTCCACGCCACGCCGAAATTACGGTTTCGGCCGTCCGCCCACTCGCGCGTTCAGCACGGCCCTTCGCACACATTCCGCCGCCGGTCATTTAGTCAGACGTATGCCGTACGCGTCTTCGTTCGCCACTACCAACGTGGCACCGCTCGGACAATCGCTGCTGCTGTCGCGCGTACATACAGCGTGATAGTTGCGTGCATGCGCGTACCGAGCACATCGCAGTCGTATCGTTTTGGGGGGAGACCGGTGGACATCGCCGCGGGCCACATCCCACAGCACGCCGGAACAGCAGTACTGTCAGTACTGGATCGGCCACCGGCACGCCAACTGTTCGACGGCGTGTTTAATTCGAATCCGCGCGCACACCGCGACACAACGCTGTACTCGCCGTCCCGCGGCACCCGCACGTATTATTCACGTTGTTACTACAGTCGCGCACGTTGCCACCTGCCGGTTATTCGTACGCTCCCCGTGTTAACGTAACCGCCGACACTCCGCCGCGTGTTCCGGGATCGCCGTGATTTTAATAATAATTTTCGCTGCCGGATAATCATAATAATATTGTACCGTTTTATCCCGTTTCAAATGCAACCGGGCGTGTGATGAGTTGTGTTGTTTATCCAAAAATCACTCGACGAACGGCAGTTATTAACCACCAGGTATTTTATGAGATTACTATTGATTCGCGTATTAATTAGAGGAAATAAAGAAATCGGGCATTGCGTACCGTCGTGCAATTGATTTTCATCCGCGGCCCTCGGAAACGCACTCGATTAAACATTACAATATCAAATTATCCTATTAACGAACGCGTTTACGCGAATAGATTAGGTACCGTTTTCGAAATTCGCAAACTATGCCTATAGGCCCTTCAGCAGGGATACAGGCGCCTAAATTATTTTACGCGCGAAATAACATTTCGTGCGATTTAGCGCGTCGACGACGGTACTTGCGCGTAACAACGAAACAATAACGTGCGCTACGCATGATAATACGCGCGGGTACAATCGTCGATTTATCCATCACTTGTAAATCGCGTAGGTCCACGTGTGACCGCGGCGTTTCGGGTGCCGCTGAGAATTTACCGAATCGCTTTACTCTTGATCGCCTGTCCACGCGGGCGACACCGAGGGCCGTCCCGCCGACACAAACGCTTTCGTTTGTCCGACTTTTAAACCGAGTTTACGGCCGGCGACCGACTGCGATCGGTCGGTTACCGCACGCACACTACGTTTACAAAATCCACGTTTATATTATGTCGGCGAGAACGGCCCCGAACGGCGGCACGCGTAATTACGTTTATTTACCCGTAATGATATTTACCGAACCGATCGTGCGGGGTTCGCCTCGGGTATTTTATTTGCATTTGTATATTTTGTCACGTGCCTCGGCCGGCGACGATATTCGCCACCTACGGGCAGAGGGAAAATCGCAGCTCCCCCTCCGTCGTCGTTACCACCGTAAAGAAAATGTCGTGGTGCGCAAAAATCTGCAGGTTAGGACGTCGCTCGTGGTGGCTTCTTCGCAGACAATCGCGCCTTTGAATAAAATATACAAATGATCACAGTCATCACTTGTGACAAATTGCACGTTAATTATTATTATAGCGAACAATAATAATGCCGCCGATTGTCCGGAATCAATTGGGCGTTTTTAAACGTTTGTCTTCCGAATTCACGAGTTTACATTGTTCATCAAATATTTCAAAAGCTACATGACCTCAATGTCTCTGTCGTATATTCGACGGTGTCTGCCGGTAATTGTTTTAACGCTCTTTGAATTAATAGACATTCCGATGATTAGTGTGATTATTAACGTGTTTGTATTTTTTTTCTCTCTGTACTTAATTGCGATTGTTAACTGCAATTTTTATGTAAATTGGAATTTATTATTATTATTATTATTGTCATTTTTTTGATTTTCCAAGGCGTTTTCGAAACAATTGAGAAAAACCCAAAAGGAAATTGTAGGTAAAACGGAAAATATTTACGGCACGCCGCGGCGTTACCGTTTTCATTGTTTTTATTATGTTCAACTTATTTTTATTTCCAGAAATATTGACAAAGAAAATCGTGTTTTAAATATCTAAAGTATTTTTCATGATAATCAGGAAAAACCAATCAAGACGAAGTGTACGATTTTTTTTTAATTACGACACAATGATTTTATTATTTTAAATTTGTACGGCTTATGTTTTCTACCATAAATATTGCTTCAATAGAAAAACAACAAGAAATATTTTGTGTTGAATTTTTAATCTGGATGGTGACCAAGCAAGTCGTTTTTGATTTTTTTCTTTTTGTAGGTTTTTTTTTTTAATAATTGAGCAACACCGAAAAGTCGCTGAAAGAACGGACAATTTTACGAAAATAATGATTTTATTATTTAAAATGTGGTTTTTTCGTTGCAATTCAGGTTTAAATATTTGTAGAGATTTAAAACATTGACAGAAAACTTACTTTTACTTTTTCTAGCCGTGGTAAAACTTTCAGAAAATTACGCAATTTTTGAGCTATTTATAGACATTTAAATTTTGCAAGTTTTTTACCCAATTTTTATTTGGTAGGTACTCCATAGAGAAACTGTTAGACTTAATAGAAATACTTGAAAACTGTATAGGAAGTTTATTATAAGTCGTACTTAGTGGTAAAAAATATTTAGCTTTAAAATCAAATTTTAACGAAAATCGTAAATATTACGGCCTTTCAAAACATGTACAGCCGAACTTTGCTCCGAAACGTTTTCGTTATCTTTGGTTACAGGTATAAATTAAATAACTTTGTGTATCTCTCCTTCACCACTACCCACCCAGGCCGCACCCATACTCAGTATCAGCTCTTTTTTGTTTTACAGTTTAAATTATAACTTATTAATATCGATTATAATATAATATCATTATTATAAAAAATCAAAACTTTGAAGCGAGAAATAATTAAATACATAAAAATAAGTAAATCATTTTTATATCGTATTGTTGTTTATCGCTAAAAATGTTTAAAAATAAAAACGTCAAAATAATTTGCGAAATCAATTTTCATTCCGGAACTTGTTATAATATAAGTCTATATTCTATACTTCTATAGAATTCTTCAAATTTGTAGCTGACTTGGCAATATTATTATTTATTTTTTTTGTAATTTTAAGTATCTAGGTACAATCTTTCTCTGTGTTCTTTCGTTGATTTGTTTCCCCCAATAACATAAACGATGAATAAGTACACGTTACTGTTGGTCAGTTGTTGGGTTTTTACGCCAGTTTTCAAAATTGTACCGTAAAATCAACGGTATAAGATTTTGAAAAAAAAAATTTTTTGAGTGAACTGTTTGTGGTAAAAAGTAATCTACTCAATTGGTTCTTCTGTTTTTTTTTTTTACTTGTGACAAATTCGACTATTCTAAAAATGTTTCCGTTCCAATCACCCGCTTGTTCCTTTTGTATTGGTAAACCCGACGCTCTTATCGTCAATATCAAGATACGTTATTATTATAATTTTTTTTTTTTCAATAACAAAACTTTTAATTAAGTAATGACGAATTTGCGTTTCGATATTCACAGTACAATCACCTAGTTTCGTCGTATGCTAGCCGGACATTATATTATTATCTGTATCATGAAATGATAATATAATGTCGAGTCGGAATAATCGTTGAAAATAGTGTAAAATAGAACAATTCCATTAATAACGTCGCACTATACTCTACCAGGAATATATACAACCTGAGGAAGTAAATACACGGTTTCTTCTGTAATTTTTGAAATTTCTAAATTTTAAAGAATTTTTTTTTTTTCACGAAATTGGCGTTTTCCTATAGGATATTGTAACCTACCTGTATATACCAAAGATATGCATATTATATGGGTACCTGTATCGACCAACCAACAATTCTGGGTAAAACGTAACGAGCGCATTTGCTCTAAAATATCACGGGTCCTCTTAGGTTATTTATAATTTATAATAATATATTATTACACGGTGTTCGAATCGGTTAATAAATAATAATAATAATAGGAAAAATAAAAAAAAAATTTAACAAAATCACAATAAATGTTATGATAATTATCTAATTATTACGAATCATTATCATATATTGTATTTTTCTCGCTATTGATGTGTATGCGTGTAATTTTATGTGTGTGTGTGTGTGTGTGTGTGTGTACCTATATATTATTATAATAATATCGAAACTGCTCTGAAATCGCGGCGTATAATATAATAATGTGCCGTAGAACTCGAAAAAGAAGAACGAATTAAAAGTGCTTGCTTAATATTGTTTTTTTTCCCCGTCTTCTTCTGCATAATTCACTTTGATTACGATATTTAGACAGTCAAAAGCATAAAATATATATTATAAATACGTATAATATATTATAACGAATTATATACACTATTATACTTACTAATTTTGTATTTTCTCAAAATCAATAAGTAGATAAGAGAATAATATACACACTTACGATTAATATTATATATTTTGAAAATCGTGTTCGTTATTGATAAGACGTCTGTGTTCGTTATTATTTTCCGTTTCCAATAATTTTATACATTGATACTGTACTTGTATACAACCCATATATTATTATTCACCGTTCGCCCCTAAAAAACCGATTATACCTTTTTGTCATTTTCTTTTTCCTATACTTACAACCATCGTCATTGATTTTCTCCGGGGCATTGCATAGTTCGATGTAATGAGATTGCGGGACATCGTTTATATTATATTTCTGTGCCGTACAATATAAATTTCCGATTTCCCATTAAACACGCTTTGTTTGATTTTCCGCCCTCTTTTACGACGACGTCATAATACCTATTTGGAACAATCGGTCTCCGATAATGTCGCCCCGATTATATAAAAACGCCGTACGCTCGGTACATTATTCAGCTTTATACGTATCGGCTATCGACTGTTATTAAAAAAAAAAAAAAATTGTAAAAAAAACCCTTGCCTCGAAAACTAAAGAATTCGTATTGTTTATTTTATTTTATCGCGCGATTTTGGACTTTCCCGCTCGCGCGTTCATTCGGACGAATGATAATATAATCTCCCCGTTATTGTAAGTTTGGGTTTTTTCGCCTTTCTACTCTATTTCCACCGTATACGAGTCCGTTACAGTTGCATTTTGCCGTTTTTGGCTTTCTAAATGGCTAACAAAATCGGTTGTTTTTTTTTTGTTTCTGATAAAACACTATAACCGAACTGATAACATGTCGCTGCTCGTAATAACTCGTTCGTTTGACAATATTTTAGAAAAAAAATTATCGATTATATTCTCCTCTTTAAATTTTGTTGGCTGTGCTTAAAGTTTTAAACTAACTTAACATCCACCTAAACGGCAAAAGTTTAGTTCTAAGTTTGGCACTTAATTTTGCTTTCTTGTCCGTTAGTTGGGTCGAGAAAATAAATGCGGGTATCATGTCCTCTAAAATCTTAATCTTTAGTCTTTACCGTATTTCTACGTATTTTTACCGTACTTTCTCTTCTCGTTTCTATATACCGACTTTGTATCCTTACATTGTTTTCGTTATTTAATTCTTTTAATTTTGCTATTTTGTTCTCTTATTCGTTTAAATTTTGATGATTGCCAATAAAATCGGTAAGTATTTTAAAAATAAAAAAAAAACAAAAATTGTTGATTTGTAAAGTGAATAAAGTATTCAATTTGTTTTCAGTTACCTACTTTTTATTTTAACTTGTACCTACTGAGATATATTATTGCGGTTATTCTTTGAAAAATAAAAACGGTTAATAAAGCGGAAATATTGTTTTACGTGAGTTCGACAGTTGATCTGATATTTAGGTGACCTATCTACATAATAGTATAATAATGTCTGTGGTCGACATCTCTCTTTATATTGTAATATTTCTTGAAAACCATTATTTTTGTTTCGTTTGTCAGTACTGCAGTTATAGAAAATTGCACTATTATTTTATACTTACGTCTAAAAAGTGTAGCTTGGAGCCGGAAGAGAGGCGGCTCGAAGAAAAAGTAGAGGATTATTTAAGGAGGATTTCAGGGAGATATAAGGGCATTATATGGCGAGTATATTATGAAATATTTTTTACGGATCGGAAGATATGGAGGACGAGAATCAGAGACGAATGCCAAAAAGAAAAGAAAAACAAAACGATTTTACAGGTAGAGGTTTACGTCCGACTGTCAATGTTAGATTACATTTTTTTTACGTTCGTTAAACATTTAAAATTTGTAATATTATTAACGTGTTTGTATAATAAAATATTGTAAATCTTAACGTAATTTAAAATCGGGTTTACGGTGTGAAAACATACATTTCCATTCACTAAAAATTCACCTATTATTGATGTTAGGCATCGTTTGGACTAAAATAATAATACTATTATACTACGAGTAAATATTTCAAATTATTCATATTCCCATCGTAATTTATACAATTCATAAAACATATCATATTATAGAATTTTTACGTATTTAATAATCCTGTTTATAATGGCGTAAACTTAAAATCCTGTACCTACTTATTATACTGAATAAAATACTAGTATTTTTTGATAATCGCGTTTATCTCCTGGACGCCTGTAGTATTCAATGGAAAAGTACCGATGCCCGTATATTATTCATCATAGGCGTATGTATTAAATTACAACAAAAAAAAAAAAAACCATGCGATTAGTAACGTTCAACTAGGTATTACATAGTAAACGATCGAGCGGTAGCAGAGTTGAGTTAACACGCGCAGTTAACGTTTATTATATAGGTAATTTAATCTTTATCGAAATCCTATAGTCTTGTCCTTGTGTATACTATGTGATGTAATAATAATATAATTGAATAATAAAGTGCGCACTGTAAAATATATTTGTAAATTACGTATAGCGAGCGTCAGTTTTTATTTCTATCGATATTTTTTATCCCGGATATTTCTTTCGATATACCATCATTACGTTTCATCTGAATGAATTCATTTTAAATTTAAATAATTTTACATACGCGTCATAAACACAAACTCGACTGAAATAGCGACAATATTTCACGTTATAAAAAAGAGAATTGTTAAAAATAAAACAAAAAACAAATTTTATATAGTACAATAACAATCTTTTGTCGGTCTACATACTGTAATATTGTTTTTTTTTTTTTTTTTTTAATGAGTTCAATATTAATACATAGTATACGTTTAATATCATACTAATGTTCTATATATTCTTGTTGTAATGTGTATAAAGTATTGGTGGTCTAGTTTTTTAATTACGTTTTGTTACAAACATCAATTATACGTATACAACTACCTACAATTCTACACATTAAATAATTTAAATAGTTACAGTACGTATACGGTGTGTTTAAAAAAAAAACTGACTATATATAGGTATGTATAGACGTACAGTAGTGAACTGTTCACTGTGCTGGTTTGAGTTGAAAAATAACAATACAAAAATTTGACTTAGAAAAAAAAAAAAATGTAAAATTATACTCGTATGTCAACTAGGTATTTGTTTATATTAAGTATAGAACAATAATTGTTTTGTTTCACAACACGTTACCTGTTTTTGAAGGGTTTCGCTTTTCATATTTGAAATTGCATTTCTACAAAAAAAAAAAATTAAAAATAACAATCTTTCGAACAGTGGCGTATGAGACGCAAGAGATGACTTCAAGGGAGGGGAGGAGAGGCAGCAAGTCTCTGAGGATTATCTGCAAGGATCAACAATAGAATTTGAATTTTTATTAAAATCTAAAATCAGTCTATTATTTTAGATTCCGAGCGTAGCGAGGGGCTATTGGTTTTACTAAGAAGCTTATTTCCATTTTTTCTTTGTTTTAGTCTGTGGACACGTTTTTCCTTAGTAAACTGGTTCCGATTTTTACATGTAGCAACTTTTCTAAAATTTCAAGTTATCTAGATGGTACTTAAAAAAGTAATTTTTTAGATTTTCGAAGCTATTTTTAAATAAAAGCACTTAAGTAGGAAAAAACATAGGAAAACGTACAATTTCACGATTTCTTTGTTTTATAAAAATACGGACGACGTTTTCTACCAGAAAAAATGATTTAATTTAAAAATTATAAGATACCTTTTTTGTTGCCTTTTTGATTTACTTTCTTACGGTATCAGCTACGGTACGCTATCGGCAAAAATTTTGAGCCACTTTTGATTTTTTAAGTAATTTTAATTTTTGGGAGTTTTTTTGCTGTAATTCGGTTATAAATACATGTAGAGACTTGAAACATAATAATAATACTTATGTTGGACTTACTTAGACGTGGTAAAATGTCTTAAATGATCGCACAACTTTTTTTTTTAATAAGTGTTTTAAAATCAAAGTTAAATGAAAATCGCAAAAAAAATTACGGCACTTCAAATTATGTATTACCGAACTGAACTCGGAATCGTCTTTCGCCAACCAATAATTTATCATTGCTTACAGATATGAATGAAATAACCTTAAGTATCCTACTTTCTTCTACTTTTCACCTACAACTGTGGCCGCTCCCATTCCCGGTATCAGCTTTTAATTTTTGTCAATAGTACAATACAGACTCCTTTAACTTCTGATTTCCGATGTTAGTATCGGCTTTTATAGTCAAAAAAAGTTTGGCGATGTAAGTTTTTCGATGTAGTATTTGTGTATAAATTATTAAATGGTAACATAGATTGTCCTTAATTTTTATCTCTAATTGGATTTTATGTTTCTGAAATAATGTTTTTATCTCCCTTCCATTTTTAAAAATTACATTGATAGTTCTCCAATTACTCTCTATTTAAGCCCTTGTGGCCCGTTAAACTATTAAATTAATTAATTAACGAATAAATATTATGAAATAGTTCATTTAATTATGTGTAGTATTAATGCAAATCTTATACTTCTAATGGTTTAATAATCAAATTAAAAAAAAAAAAAAAAAAAAATGGATTTTGAGAAACCAAAAGACTCTTTTGTAAAGAGAAAACCTACCTGTAATCGGTTATGTTATCAGTTGCTTAGAGTTCAGTATTTGTGTATTCTAGCCTAAAAAATGTTTATCGTATTTTAATCGCATGTGTTTATGCATCATCATTTTAAAAAAAAGCCACAGACATCAAATGCCCATACTTCACTTCCCCCTCGTGTATACGTCTCTGATATTATCCGTAATAATTTTGTAATTGAAAAGACCTTGACACAACAACCGGATAACTCTTAATTTCGAAATTGTTTTCGGGAACTAAAAAAAAAAATTTCATTTATTGCACCGGTATATTTTGTTCGTCAGAAGCATATTTTTATAATTGTTATCAAATTCTATGTATTGTATTGGATTTATCATCATCTGATACTTGTACCGATATATTCTAAAACCAGAGAACTTCAAATTATACGCTCATTACGAGTATAATATTCGTATACCTATTGGAATTATATCCGATTGCCACAATATCAAATAGTGAATTTTACCGAAAATAAGGGAGTTATATCTGCTTGTGTTGCGCCAAGGTCTTCAATAATATTATTGTTTGATTTACTGGGAATTTATGATTATATAATAAAACTTACCAATTGTTTTACATTTTTTAATTAGGTACCGCAATTTGTTGTTTGTTCTCTCGGCATATTACTTTTTCATAATAATAATAATTTCAATGACACATTTTTCATTCGTCGGTAATAAATAGTAATAATAACAATAAAAAACGCATTTGATGTTGTCTTTAGACTGCAGTTAGGCACTGTCATTCATGAAAGTAAAGTGGTTTTTATTATCAATATAATAATCTTTGGCGTAACGTAACTCGTCGTCGACACATAAATAATATTATTACTCATTGATTCATCAACTGTTTCCGTTCTAGAAATATTGTATACGCAAAATCATGACGAAATCGCAATAATAATTGTGACGTACAATAATAATAATAATAAACTCATCGCAAAACTCGCCTAATGATTTTGAATTAACGATTATGTATTCTTATATAGTATACATATTTTTTTTTTTAATGAATTATGACGTTCAGTAGGATAGGTATCAGCAATTGTAACCGGTATATTATAGCCTATACGATATATATTTTTTTTCTACCAACCTGTACCATGCAAAAAAAAATAAAATACGGTTTAAATGTTTGAATAACAAAAAATGATATAACAATTTTCTCTCTTCTTTTAGCCCCTCCCAAGTTCGGGAGTGTTTTTCTTCCCCTCACCCCCTGGATATATAATATAGGTAATAAATACAATAAAATAATGTAAGTACACGTTGCTATTATCTGATTAGAATTGCTTTTTTTTATTGATATTATGACGTTCAATTGTCTGAGTGACAGTTGACAGTCTCGAGACTGGGACGGGGCTGTGATTGGTTCAAGATTGTTGTTGAAATTTACTAAAGTGACTGGGAAATTTTCTGCTACAAAATCTATTCGACTCCACCATTCAGACGTAGGGCAGAGGTTAGACAATGTGCTTGCCATAGGTGCGGGGTACTCAACGATCGCCAGCTGGGCACCGAGGTCATTTCGATTTTGTAAGGATGAAAATTATATGAACTTACGAATGCATAACATTCTTTGCATTGGGTATTTAGGGTTATGATGTTGACGAACTAAAAATAACGAAATAAATATTCAGTTGTTATGTACTGACAAATAGCTATTAGTAAGTACGCACGGAGAAATTTGAAAATATGTATTACAAATTATGTGTACTTATTTTAATTATCTAATGAAAATTAAATAGGCGTTATTAAAAAAAAAAAAATTTACACTATATATATATAAGATCTAAATAAATATTTTAAGCATTCGAGTTGCATTGAGCTACAATAGTTTTGTTTTAAATGTTCAATTGTGTATATCTGTGTCTATTTGGTGCTATAGTACTAGTTCCTGAATTTATTAATCATAAAATATTTATTTAAAAAAAATAAGGTATTTATATGAATACGAATAGATAATAATACTTATCGAAATGAAATTCAGATGATTAAGGTTTCTGTTATTATTGAATACTTTGTACCGAAAACCGTTAAATAAGTCTTGAAAAATGAAAAACGCCAAATTATGTAAAATATCGGAAAATATTCAAAATACAATTTTCATATTTAAATATAGACGTCATGAAACGAATTTCCATGTGAAAATCCGTAATAGTATAACCTGAAGAAAATAAAAACCACGTAAATTTATAAATATTATTCTAACGCTATTTTATATTACATACCGAGACACGACTGAAATACTTTTCGATAAATTCAAAAACAAAAATATAAATTATACTGTAAAATCAAATCTGATTAAAAAACACCCCGATATTTATACAATAATTCACGAAACTATATATCAATCGACCAACAGACATATGTTTTCTGTCCGGTGTTTCGAATTAAATACAAATTAAAAAAAAAAAGAAATCATATGACGCACCCGTTATACCGTTGCAGCTATTTAAATATAGTTTGTACATTAAAAAAAATATATATATAATACATATAATTAAAAATAACTATTAAATAAACGGTTTATGTTTACGGCTGTTTACATTCGAAATCATCCGGCATAAACTCTAAACCCACCCTGACCACGGATATGTGTATTTAAAAGCTAATTTTTTTGTGTAGGTACCTATTCCAAAAGGAAAATATCTGTAAAACCGATTTGGATTTCTTGTTGGAGTGTTGCAGTCAGTTGTATATTATATTATTCGTTCATTTATTAATTTTGTAAAATTATCGTACTCGAACAAACTATTATTTCTTTTTCCACTTGTTTATATTATTTATTATTCATTTTCCAGTTCCTGTCAAATAATATAATATTATATTATAAGTGGATTAAAACGCATTCGGAGAATTAATAATATTGTGTAATGCATTTCTTTTGGTATTCGCCCGTTATGCTCATTCATAGGAATTGTTTCATTATTTTAATATTTAAGTATCAATCAGACTATACAGTCAGGGTTATCGCTACCTACGCTTTAACACTATTCTCACTTTTTCTTAATATGCTCACTTCTTAATAACACTCACTTTTTTTACTTTTTTAAATTTCTTTAAACATAAAAACTATTTAAATTATTTAATCGAGATTTTAGATTCTGAATGAAGCGAGGGATATGTTGGTTTTATTGTGATGTGTTTTTTTGTCTGGTCTTTATTGTAAATTAAACACACTTTTCCCATTTTTTTAAAAAAAGAAAATGAGTAGCAATTCTGTAGTACTATCTAAGTACTATGTATTTTTGAGATAATGATATACGCGTATACAACTTATTGTAAATTAATATGATATGTAAACTATTCCGCAATGTTTATTCAATAATCTGATGACGGCGTAAAGCCGAAACTTAATAGTTATAAAATCAAATTTTTGTTTACACTTCTAAAGTCAATAGTCAAAATGTTTTAAGCAATTTGTTTTCCTAGCATAAATAGTATACAATTTTCTAATTTGTATTCAATTTAAACACAATTTATAATGATCTCAAATAAGATTGATAAAAAAAAAAAATGTAAATATTAATATTTATGTATTAGCAATTTTTAATTAGTGTATTTTTCTTACTATCAAATAGAAGATAATGCGTACAAAGTAAAAAAAAAAGATTTGGAATAACGAACTAAGGTATAGTTTATATTAGTTAGATACAAGTATAACTAGTTATAACAATATAATATGATAAATTAACAACCGTTTTGTTAATAATTTATACTATTTACAATTTTATATCATGTACTTATTTTATATACTATACGTTATAACCTTCACATATTTTATACTTACTCTTATAGTAATCAAACAATATTAATGACAACATACTAGACAAATTAATTAAATTTGAACATTATCTAAACAAAAAAAAAAAAAAAAAAACGTTATTAATTTGTAGTCGTTTTTAATACCTTATCTACCTAACCGGAAATATTGAAGGAGTCCCAAATTATCAAACTAATATTATATTGGCTCGTATGGAGTCCCTTTAGCCTTTTATCCGGGAGTAGCCGTGAGTCTCCTCCAAAAAAATATGTCTGCTTGTTTGTTGTATTGCTATGCGATCGTTTATTTTTAACGGCTTCTCGAAATTAATCATCTATACTAATAAGGTACTGGTTGTCCCGCGCGGCTTTAACAGTATTGAACGGTAAAAATTAATAACGCTGGGACTTTTATCCATTTCCACCCGCGTTTTTATCACCGTTAACTGTTATTGTCGAGTAATTTTTTTTTTTTTTTAAAGCGTACTTTTTTGCCTTTGAAAATCAAATTAATTATAGATTTTTTTTTCGTCCGTATCACCAAGGTGATAAACAACATAAACAACGAAAATAATTCGATTTTAGATATCGAAAATCCTGTATGAGCTATCCTTAAATAGTTGAATTCCAGATATCCGACTTCAAGGTGCACACACGCTCATTTAACCGCTTTTGTAGAAAGAAACACTTATTTTTATCGATGTAATCGATGAAGTTGTTGGTAAAAGTGTAAAAGTTCAAATTGGTAAATCTTAGATTCTGAGTGTAATATAACAACTTTATTACTTTATTACGGGCTGTCCACCTGGTGGGTTGCCAAAAGACACAGTATACATATTCAATATTGATATAAGCTAATAGTTTCACAAAATTGTAGACTTTTTTTCCAAGGAAAACCCTTATGCAGCGGTTAACAAAAATATTCAGATTTACCTAAAATACGCGTGATTCCCGCCCGGGAGTTACATAAAACATTTTTTGAAATTGACAATAGTTTGTAATATAGCTTAGGTCTTTTTTTCAGGAAAACACATTTCTGGTTAGAAAAAACGATTAATTTGCACCGTAACTTAAAAGATGTGAATTGTTTGCCCGCAATACTTTATTCGAAAAAAAGTCTGGATTTCGAACATTAAAACAGACATTATAATGTATCGGTTTTACTTTTATTGATTTTTTGGGTTCTCAGAATCGTTTTTTGATTGCAATAATTTACGAGACCCATGGTACGAAATACGTCTCGTTTTTATACTCGGCAGTCCGTTTTCGGGAAATTTTTGTTTTCCAATGGTTTTTTAGATCCAGAATAAAATAACGGGGAGGGTGGAATATTTTGAAAATTAATGTAATAAAGCACACAATTATCATGCAAATCAAGCTCAGAATATATAATGAGGGTAAGAGTATATTTGGCTACACGAACAGGGATGGGGATTACCCTGACTGAATCTATTACTGATTGCGCACGCTTATGACTACTACCTATATAATTTAAGCACGTCGTCGACTAGCATAAAACCGTTTCAATACCCCGGGCTATAGAAACAATGCGTGTAATTACGAGTGAAAACTTTCGAGAATAATTTGATAACTATTTTTAGTCGATGCCTATTTAAAGCACCCGTCACCGATCGATATAATATTGTATATAGTTGGAAAATATAAAAAAAAAAAGGACGGACATACTTCGCACGTAGATGGGAAGTTGGGGAGGTAGGATACAGACGAGAATTTAATGTATATCTGTAAGCAACGATAAACCATTGCTAACGAAAAACGATTTTGAGCGGAGTTCAGTTGATAATGTCATGCTTTTCAAAAACGTATAGCTATGTCATATTAAATGATTAAAACAATATGTGTTTCCATGACAACAATGATTTTTTAAAAAAGATTTAAAATTATGAAAACTTAATAATTACAAAAAATAAATAAAAGCGGTTGTCTATGACAACCTTATTTTTAATCTAAAGACCGAGGTTTTCCTCGTTATTTCGAATATTAATGAGAACTTCAAAAAATGACCCCTTTAAAGTATCATCCAGCGAACATTTCCTCTCAGAAAAGGTGCTATACTCGATGGAGTATGCCTTCCGGTAGAAAGCGTACTCGCTACACTCAGAGTCTAAAATCTAATCTCTTGACGACTCGGTATTCGAACGTCGTACGCGGTACACATAGTAATTATTATTATCGGACATTAATTTCAACCGTACCCGAAAATTAGTCCGGGACACTAGGCTGCTGGCCGCAGAGAACTTTGGCCGTTTTATAATATTTCGTTCGTCACAATAACATTACGAGATTGTTATGCTTCGTCGTGAAAATAGCTGTATTTGCATTTTTTTTTTTTTTTTTTTTTCCATTGATATTTCCCCATACGCGTCCGTCGGTCAACTGCCGTTTTATATATATTTACCGCGGCGTATAATGATTACATCGAATATATTATAATTAACCGCGGTTCGTGGTAAACGGTTTTACGGAATTCGCTCGAGTACGTATACCATTATGAATACAATGTGCTATAACATTATAAGTATATATGTGTGTGTGTTTTTTTTTTTTTTTTTTTTTGAAAACCCTACAACACTAACGAATAAATAATTGACGAATTCATAGAAAAATATTATTATTATGACTTTTTTTTTTTTTCTACGGTTTATTCATATTATATATTCATCGTACACTATTTTCATACACGACATATTACGTACTGTGTTATTATATTATAGACGACTTTAGTGCGTATAAGTATATTATTAGGTATATTGTCGGTTTTCTGTGACGGTTTTTTTTTTTCTTTCTTTCTACTAAATATTACCACCGCTTCCCGGTATTCGGTCCGACCGCATATTTTTCGACCGACAATCGGGTTTTTTCTTTCTTTTTTTTTTTTTTTTTATGGACGTTTTCCAAAATATATAAGTAAATCGTATTCCCCGATCGACCGAAACTTTTATGGCTATCGCTCCGGCCTCTCGAATACCTCGCCGCCGTAGCGCGCACAAAAGCAATTATGATTTTATTTTTTTATTTTCCTTGTAGGCATCGTGCGACAAACGTCCGCCAAGTTAATTTACGATTTGATATAGAAGGGTTTTACATGTACGTATGCACATATATATATAGTTCCACGTAACAATAAAAAAAAAAAAATTATAATACAATATTCGTTTTTTTATTATTATTTTTTTTTTCGAATGGTAGTTACCACACGTTTGTCACGTTTATAGCATACACACACACATACACATATATATATATATATATTGTATTGTGTTATGTACCTAGAGTAAACCTATTTGATATAAATCGTAATTTACTTAGTTATTATTTATTCAAAATTAATCTTTTTTTATTATTTTTTTTTTTTTTTTTTTTTTTTTTACTTGGTATAGATATTGTGCATACTATTCTGTTGTCACATATTAATGAGAAAAATACGAGTGAAAATCGCAAGTATTGATATTTATCTATGTAAAAATACACAACACATTTTCAATCGAAACAGAAACACCGCGATCATTAAATTGTATTTAAATTGAGCATGGAATACCGAGAAATTGTGTATACGTTAATTGCAATATACGTTTTTTACGCTAGATATAGGTGCGTTTTATACGCGTTTATTATTGAGTGAAAACAAACTGAATGGATGTAATTATTTTTACGATATGGTAGGTACTCATTAGCAAGTATTCAAAATGCCGTACAGATTGTAAACTTTATACCATGTTGTTAATGAATATCGAAATAAACTGATAACGTAATATAATTCGAAATTTACTTAATATTTTTTTTTTACATTCTTTAACGCTGGTATTTGATAGTATACGTCGTTACAAAAATATGTCACGCTAATCAAGCAATGGCGCCCAAACATTTCCTGCTATTACCAACCGCCCAAATAATTTTCGGATCAAAAAGATGTGGCTATAGTATTTTTTTTTTTCTAGCCATTTTTGACTCTAGGCACACGTGATTTTGATAGAATTGCGTAGGACGCTTTGGTCGTAAATTTGTAACTATTATTATTATTTTCATTTTTTTTGTAACAAATATGATATAGGTTCAAATAAATTGGATTTGGTTTTAAAATAAAATGTCGTTTAGACAGCAACAAAAAACGTTTTGAAAGAAAATAATACAAACATCCTTCAGTATCTGAAGCAGATTCATTGGCACTCGTTTATTCTCGAATATTTTAAAATTCTTCTATAAATGTACCGAGTACAATGTATAGTATTGACTTATGCGATATCCACTTACTGGTAAATACTCTTTTTTTAAACACCGAATTACATTTTTTTTTTTTATTCCTGCTCAAATATACTACATTTCGGAACATACTATACTCGAGCAATATACTAACAATACTGTAATACCGTATATCTATTTGTATTTTGATCGAATTTCATTTATCATTTTATTTATTTCTTTAATATCTTATTTGTTTGATGCCATATATCTATAGAATTATTTCTAATTTCCAAATGATTTCTAAATAATTACATTTACATATTTTATTGTAACCTATAGGCACCTTGATAACTTGAAAATTATCAATATACATACATTTTACATACATCGTTTACTCACCCACTGCCTCTGAGCACCCACTTGGTAAGCGGTGTGCGCGCGTGCCACTCTATAAATCATAAATGTATTGGTGGTCCAAGAATTCAGTATACGGGCACCACCAATAAAATAGTCTTTTTGATTATTTTATTACCATGGTTTGCTGTTACACAGCATCCTTTTATCCTGCTGTTTATTCTGAACCTGTACCACTGCAGCAACGTACGTATATTATATGTATTGATTAAAGTTCCTAAGAAACGCGGTTCTAAGGTATACGACGACAACGAATATAATATTACGACGTCGGTTATAGATACGAGATGTATAATATTATAATATTATATTGTAGGTATATTGCAAATCCCTTTTTAGGATAAGTAGAGAATAAATATGTAATACTGCAAATTCAAAATTTTAAGCGAAGCTTATAATATTCATGTTGTAATAAATATATCTCGTTTTTAAGACGTATGTATTTTTCAGAAAAAAAAAAAATGTATTACTGTTGGCTTATACCGAAGCTTGCAAATTGTATTATTACTGTTATATACTTATATTAATATCGTTTGGATGTAACATTAAAAGAAGTTGATGTTTAGAGCTATACAGGGTGTCCTACCGTGCACTACATGTATTTTTTATACGCTATAGTGAGTAAACTCCTTAGAACATATTCGTTACCTATATTACCCATATCGAAGTACTCAAGTGATTGTAGATAAAAGAAAAAAAAATAAAATTCATTAGTATTATTTATTTTTTAATCCAGTAATACCTATAAAGATATAATATTTTACTATACACACCACACACGCTATTGATTATTATCTCGTATAACATAATATACGTGCCTATATTAATATTATAAAACATTTTCTCGGAATCACGTTTCTGAAAGTCTTTAGCAAACGAAAAATTAAACACTTTATAATACCTACGTTATAAAGTATTTTACTAGACCATATAGAAATTCGTCCTTAATCTATTTATTATTATTCTTATTGTCAAGTTTTCCCCGAAAATGGAGACTATTGCGCTGTATTGCTTCTCGTATATATTTATACACGAGACACGAGTATATACACTATACAGGGCGATCAACAAATAACGAAAGGCATTCATTATCTTGGTTAGGTTAGGTTCGACATTTGTTTTTAAAACATTTAAAAAACAGGCTACAGTTCTAGCAGCTCTAAAATCTTACATTCCCGTTATTTCTTGTTATCCTTATTTGACAGTGTGAAACGTTTATATTAAAAATGTCATTAATAGATGACGTTTTAGTTTGCATAAATGTTGGTGTTGACTTTTTTAATTTCATTCAACTCAATAACGAGATATTTCACTTTTAAATTTAAGTATTATGAATGGAGCTTTATTTTGTGTGGTGACGTAGTCCTCGTTCAAATTGTATTCCACTAATCTCCTGCTATCCATAAAACAGCAAACTTAAAGTTGGAATGTTCCGTCTATGAGTCAACGGTAATTAATAATGTCAGTACCAAAATGTTGAATCAAATAACAACCATAACTATTTTAGATCCATAAAAAAAAAAAAAAAAATTATTGTAACCACGGTGCAGTTCTTATACATAAATGAAATTGAATGAAATCATTATTATTATTATGTCTTCCTTTTAGTATTACACACTGTCTAAATAATACACGGTGATCAACATAACGTAAGACACGCGTCATATATTAATTCTTTTTGTATAGCTAAAAGCTGAAATATTCGTCAATGAATTGATAGAAATCAAAAATGGCAACACCAATATTTATTTGAACTAATACTTGATTTATTTATATTATGGAATTTTGAATATAAATATACAAATATAAATATGAACATTTTAATTTCAAAAATTTACGCCTCCCCCCTCCCCAAAAAAAATAAAAAAATTGTTTTAGATGTTTATAAATTAAAAAACTTTTGTTTTATACGTTTTTCTCTATTTTGTATATTTATAGGAGAAAATTGTTGTAACATAAAATTCTGATCTCTATATAGGTTACTATTTGAAAATCATAAGTGGATACCTAGTAGTTTTACCCCCAAACACAAGGGTGACAAAATAACGGAAATGTAATATTTTAGAGCCGTTTACGCTTAGACAATTGTTTTTGAATTTTCTAAAAGCAAATTTCGGACAAAGTTAATATTTTTTGAAACAATGAACGCCTTGTGTTATCTTGATACAGTGGTTTTTTTTTTTGGTAGATTGAGGCCTTTACACATTTTAGACGGCCAAGTCACGAATTTTACTTAAAACACTATCATTAGTACTATATATTACTGCTATTATACGAACACATGTGTCAAAAGTTCTTTTAACTTAACGATGTCGACGGCACTGTGGGCGAGAGGGTGCGGATTCAAAGAACAGCGTAATATAATAATAATGCACAAAATCCCTCAATCCGTTTTACAGTCCAACGCCCCTGCATAGAACTCATCCATTATAACGGTTTTAAGTTTATGGATATAATAATAAATTTGTCACAAGAATCCATTATATATATACTACACTACTGCCCCGCGAATAACAGGGGGATGATACATCTGGCCGCATGCTGCATTTTTTTAATTATCTTATTCCGCTTTCGTATTTTTTATTTCTATTTTTTAAATCCGTATCCCCCCGGGAAAACACTTTTTCGCGGTCAATTAAAACGTCCCGAAATTATCTGACGGATTTAATCGCGGCCGATGGTGTAACGGTGGTACTTTATTTGCAAAATTGTTCTAAAAATAATTAAATTAAAATAAACCGACTACTAATACGACGGTTTTATTTTCGTTTATTTTTGGGTTAACGTGTTGGCTAAAAAGGGGAGAAAAACACGACTAGTACCAACTTTACATCTAACCTTATATTATAATGACATTTTACCGACGAGCTCCGCTCTCAGAAACGTTTTTTTTTTTTTTTTAATGCATTTATCAGTGCTTTCAGGGCGTATAGATGAATAATTATCCTACAATATAATTTTCAGGGACTAGACATTTTTTTCTGGGTAGGCTCGATGTTTTATTTGGGTGGAAGAGATTACTTACTAATAAACATTTTTGATTTAAAATGGTTGTTCTTTCTAATATCCAACTTTAATATTTGTACTACCTAAAACAATCCAAATAAATCAGACCTACATAAAAATAATAATAAGGTTCTATACTTAAACGATGAAAATGTTAGAGCATATATTATATTGAACAATTATTTTGCCGTTTAAAAACGTTGTGGACGTTTAGACTAACGCGTCTATAACTTTTTTATATCATCATTATTTTGATCAAAATGTTGATTCATTTCGGAACGAAATATTATGTTGTAGCACAAAAGGTACACGACAGTCATAAATTGTGAATTTGATTCAATAAAAACCTAAAAAAAATAAAACCCATTTGATTTCTTATTATTTGTGTGTTGAAATTTCGGTAATATTCCAAAAAAACAGTGAAATTTGATCATAAAAATGGTTGGAGCGGACATTTCAACATTTCAACCTTTCACGTTTTCGCGCGGTTTTGTTATTTTTTGCAACGGTTTTTATAGTGCCACTATCCGAAATGCGCTTAAAAGTGTGTTTCGTCTCGATTGATTATTAATTATTACGAAGCGTTCAGACTGGTAGTCCGACTGCAGATTGGGTAAAAGTTTACATTAAATAATGTCGGTACTGAATTTCCATTAAGCATTCTACGAAATTCGCTTTCTCCGCCGCGCACCGTTCGATTGCATTGCGCCGGTGTTCGGGCCACTGCGAACCGCACTCGTAATCGTTAGGAGGCCGTCACTGTAGTGACATTTGTAGTATCTGTCTGCCTGAGCAATAAAAATGTAAAAAAAGGAAAACAAACGAAATCGAGTTCGGAGATGATAAAACATCGATGCTCGTTATAAAATCTGTAGACGACGACGTTTTCCGAAGACAAACCTGTATCGTCGACGTTTTGAAAAATATAACTCCAAACACGTTATATCGAACGCACGAAAAATCGTATTTTGTATCTCCTCCCCTCCCCCCTCCCCGAAGAACTGCGCCCGTTTAAATATAATTGAAATATTTCGGAAAAAAATAACGCTGACGTGGGCGCTTTCGAAACACAGTGTTATAGTATGTAGGTGGTGTAGGAGGTACAGTCGTCTACGCGATTGTTTATTAATATATAATTTTTTTTTTTTTTAATGGCCGTTTTTCCGAAAGTCTCTTCGTCTGTTTTGCACGCTCGCAATGGTACACGTTTTCGTCCGCGGAACAGGGACAAACACGGCAAATAATAATACAATTTCTAATATAGACACCGCTTAATAACAAACGTATCATTTATCGTCGGTACCTACACTCTTCGATTCATTCGCCATTTTTGCGTACGGTAGTTTATTACACGCGCCTCGTACTTTCACCGTGAAAAATCGTCGTAGTGTGGCGGGGGTTTTTTTTTCACGTTGTTTTCATCAATGAAACGCATCGCCGTCACGATAATGATAATAATAATATTATTGTTGTCGTTCAGTCGTCGCGCGCGCGGACATTCGTTTCTCGCGAATATAATAAATAATTTTTTTTTTTTTCTAAGTCAAACAAGACGACGAGACTCTAAAACAATCTGGCTGATTTAATCGCGATTGTATAATACGCGCAGTAATTATAACTTTGCAATGTACTTGCAATGATAGCGCGCGCATACGATTGCGATCATTATAACATTATAATACCGAATGAAAAAAAAAAAAAAAAATGAACATTCCACGGCGCAACACGTCCGCGATGTTCTGTGCGGCGCGCAGCGCGTCGAGATATAAATAAAACGATCGCGTTCGCTACCGTTCTACGAATTACACATTAGTCGTTTAGATAATTTAATAGGATTCGATAAAAAAAAAATTAAAAAAATCCACTCGAACCGTCGGCGGTGGCCGCGGCGGTTCCGGGTTTGTTGTTTTAACCACGTATATAAGGATTCTATGAATTCATTTTTGTTTTCGTGCAACTCTCAAGTAGATATACATTATTATTATTACCTTGCTACTTATATAATGTATATACATTATAATACAGGGTGTAACCGGACTATTTGACATTTTCACAATTTTCAAAACGCATCCGTATTATAGATCAGGGGCGGCGAAACCTTCCTTTTTTTGCTTTGGCAGAGATCTACTAAGAATACAACATGTTTCCTTTGGCGATCGACTCCTGTAAAAAAAAAAAAAAAAATATAATTACTACTTACCCCTATAATGTGTATACTTAAATTAAACGTACCAAAAATAAAATTGGCCACGTAAACACTGTCGGATTGTATTACTCTCATAAAGTCATAACTGACTACAACAATATATGACCCAATGAGATGAAAATTATCGGCTATCGTCGTGATTTATTTACTGAAATTGTATAAAAATAATTTCTCAATCTCGTATTATAGTATAGTTGTGCTGGTATTAGCACAACTAACGTCATGAAAATCGATAAAAAATCTAACACGACGATTTGATAAACATAATACTAATTTATTTTGGAACAAAACTTCGGCGTTACGATTCACCGTAATTTTCCATGATTATTACCGGAGTTTACGATAATTTACAAATTGTTTTCATTGCCGTCGTTATTATACGTTATTTGTAAGCCCCGTGAACAATAATTTTCTCAAAATTCTGATCTTCCAAAATCGCAACACCGAAATTTCTTTCGAAATATATATATATATATATAAAAAAACGATTTTTAGATTCTCAATGGAGCGAAGAAACTTATAGCTTTACACAAATCTTCATTTATTTATTTTTTTTTTTTATCTGTGCGCAATTTTTAAATTGAAAGTCATGTGTAATTTAGATAGAGCCATAAACCAATTTTATCCTTTATTTGATATATGTCAATATGGTATGGGGTCCAACAAATTTTTGCCCCCCTTTGATGTTTTATAAAAACCGATTAAAACTTATGTAGTAGTTTTTTCCATAAACGTTTCAGGTTAAAATTTTAACAAAACTACGACATTTAAAAACACGTCTAACCAAACTTCACGCAGAATCGTATTTCGTCAGCAATGATTTATCGTTGCGTGTAGATATAAATTAAATAACTTTGTGTATCCTATCCTCTCAACATTTCCACCTACAACAATTGCACGTCCATCAGCAGTATCGGCTGGTTTTGTTTGTGTTATGAGTATGATATTAACGAAAAATTATTAATAAACATGAAGTTATTTATAACTTACACGATTGGCCGTACGACGGCCAAAGACGGAACAATTATTCTAGATTTAAAATAACTATACTTGAAATGTTCGATGTTTTTTGTTTGAGTTTTGTGCGGATAAAAATTGTGCTATTTATTTTCATCAGCGTGTTTCAAGTTTAAATTTATGTTAAAATTCGTTGAAAAAAACGGGCATTTATGTTATTTATTTTATGGTAACAAATTGATGAAATTTTAAATTTTAATTTCTCAAAATGTGTTCAGACTTACTCCATTCATATCAGATTTTATTTGCAACGATTAATCGTTGTATAACATTGTATATTATACTCCAAGGTACATTACATTTTTAAATGGTCGGGTGGTTAGGTAATTTTAATATGTGTACTGTACCCCGTGGTTAGAGTTGGAAAATCTGCGAAGGGGGTTATGTCTACCGAAAATTGAGAGGCGTTTCCGAAAAGTAATAAAACTCCACCGAGCTTTCTGGAAAAACCTATCATGGATGCAATACTTTTAACATTTTTCTCTCGCACGCATTTGTTCATAAAAAATATTCTACCAAACTGCTCCCTCTCTGAAGTATTGTCCTACGTATATGCCTGCTCAGTAAAAATATAGTAAACTAGAGTTGGATTACGTATTTAATCTAATAGGTATTAAAGAATTTATTTTTAATAAAACTTATTCGAGTTTTTAAAATGTCATTAAAATGTCTTAGTGTCGGTGTAACTAAAGCGTCCCCCTTTCGACTTTGAAAACATAAACAAAAATGGACTGATAATTTTAACATTAAAATATAAGAAGGAGAGGTATTTCAATTTCGGTTCTCTCCGCTTTAACCGCGCGGTTTAAAAAGTCCGCCTCGCCACCGAAGGGTACACACGCGTGTAATAATATGTTATTACAAGGTACAGTTTAAAACGTCAACACACTCGCCCGGCGAAAATTGCAATGTACGCGCTGCAGCGGTATCGGTCGGGATCGCAATGGCAAGTACGGTCTGCACCAATAACGGTGCGTCGCACGGGATAATTTAGAGGATCCGTGAAGGCCGGGACAATTCGGCCGGTTTTTACAGACGATTTACAGGGCGCGACGGCCTCCGGAGTTTTATAAGCGGCGGTTTTTTACGGCCGGACAAAAAATATTGTAATATAATTAATGAGATGCCTGTAAAAATCACGTACGTCGGTTTTGTAAACGCGCGGCGCGATTTGCCCTTGAGCAAGGTCCTCGGGACCCGCGACGACGGCGGCGGCTCGTGCACCGACACAATGGACATCGCGATTCGCGTTTGTCCGGTTCGTACGCGCGACGTCCGAACCGGACGCAGCGGCCGGGTAAAAGTCAGGGAGACGCGGTAACGCGTGATTTATACGTTGTCGCGCGGTACGGCGTGTTGTATTATTAACAAACGCGGACGCACCAGCGCGTTTGGCCGTTCGACTCGTACGCGCGCCAGGCATGCGGACGGACGCGTCGTGTAAACGGGTTGGCGGCGGCGGGACATTTTCCGGGAATCCGGTTTGGCGCGAAAAACTCCCCGGGGAGAACCGGTCGGACGTTACGTTTAACGGTTCGCGTGGGCACGCGATTTATAAATAACCGTGTAATAATATTACATTATTATTCAGAGAGGTATGTCTGTATGCATATCGTATTACACGCAATACGCCCACGTGCAGCGCGAACAGAACTGCAGGGTAATAGTAATTATTGTTGTTGTTGTGATAATATACACACACACAAGACGTTATTGTTATGCGACGAGTGTACGTCATAATGCGTTATTACTATCCGTTTACCGGCAAGAACCCGACCGACACCCACGGTGTGTGAACGGCGATAATCTTCGCAGCGATTCGTCGTGTCCCGGCGAGACGGCGAGTCGTCGTCGGCAATATAATAATAATATAGTCCAATAAATTTTACTCCGAATAAAACAAAAACAATTATAAAACATTTTGATGTTTTTTTTTTTTTCTTTTCTCCCGTGGATTTATAATACCGCCCGCGGCGACTCGTGCCCCTTAATGTCGTCCGTTTTTTTTTTTTCCTCCTCGCATAGAACTCGCATAGCGTTAATAATTATTTTATAAAATAAATCCCGCGGGAACCGCGTCTGTATAGGGAATTCTGTCGGATAACAAAAACGGGGGGGGGGGAACCGAAAATTCCGTCAAGCGCGTTATTATATTATACTTTTTAAACATAATACAATATCGGATTTCGTCTACGGTAAACGACGTTCGCGAGTTCGTCGTTCCCCCGGCCCCTCTCCGCCACCCGACCCGCTCACCCCACCCCCCNCCCCCCCCCCCCCCCCACCCCTCGTTTCGATTGTCGCCCGCGGTATACGCGTGCATTATTATTATTCCCGGCGGGCACGCCACGACCCCTCGTATAATACATACGTACTGTATACATTATTATTAGACGTATATAATATATATATAAAATATATATATACCCGCCTTTCGGAGACGTCGTTTCCGGGAACCGTTCGTTCCCGGAGAACGGCGAAATCGTCATTATCGTCATCATCATCGTCTCCGTCGTCCCCGTCGTCATCGCGCGCACGCACCGGCGGTTTTTCGGGTCGCTTGGGAGGAGTGGTAGAGCACGTTTGTACGATTCGCCGCCGCCGCCGCCGCCGATACGGTGTCGACGGCGGCGCGCGTCTAAGTAGATTTCGTCGTCGTCGCCGTCGCCGTCGCGTCGCGTTTTTTCTATGATAAAACGTCCGTCATTCCGCCGCAGTACGGTGTCGCCGTCGGGTCTCGGTCCGCGGTCGTCCGGTCGGCCGCCTCGCGCGCGCGCGCTCGGTCGTTTGTCCCGACCGCGGTCCCGTCGTCGTCGTCGTGTTCGTACACGTATGTATATATACCAATATACTCGCCGAGATATAAAATAATGTCAATTGTTTATCAGCCGGGTGCAATGGGTATTATTTAATTTTTTCTCGTCTTTGTACCGACGAGCGCGGTGAACCGCGCGGAGCTTAAAAATATTACGATGATATTTCAATAAACGGCCCGCGATTTAAGTACGATATTCTCGCGCGCGCACAACAATAACGATAATAACTATTCGCGGTACGCGTTTGAACGGAGCGATTTACACACGTCGTCGGCGCGGGGTACGTATTTTTATTTTTGTTTTATTATTATTTTTTTTTTTTTTCAAAATTGTCGTTTTCACCAAAAGAGTAGTAATAATAATGTTATTTATTTAAGCGATTTTTTTTTTCCCCCGTTTGTAAAAACGAAATTAGCTTAAAATTATCGGCTTCGAATATCGGATTTCGTGGGAAATGGTAAAAAGAAACCGTAAATATTATCGCGTTTTTTTTTTATATTCTGTGTTTCACTGACGCGAAAGACATTTTTTTCCCGGAAAACGTTTCGGGTAAAATAACGTACCCGAAAAAAAAATCCGTTCACACCGTACCTACTCGAAAGAATGCAGATTTCCGTCGGAAAATCCTAGATTCCCAACGGTTTTACAGGGAAAAAAAATTTAAATAAAAAACCCCGATAATACAAACTCGGTACACGGGTTTTGTATAAAAAAAAATCTAAATCGCTCAAAGGTCTGCAATATCTTATCTGAATAATATTTAGGCGGACAGAACGTCTCAAAGTCGGATTATTAAAATTCAATTTCCATACTCACGTATACCGAATATTGGTTGTTTTTTTTTCGTATGATTTATTATTTATAATATCGCCGGATACATCAAAGTGAATCTATACCGAAACGCCACAGCGCACGCGTGACGAAAATACTCGCCATCGACGATTTTTTACTCGGAAAGTTTTTTATTACTCAACCGAGTCGGCTTATAGTGGATTTTTCCGCGGACCCGACAGACTGCAGGGTTTTTCGCAAAATAAAACCGTAAATATGAAACGCTAAACTCATGCCTGAATAACGCAAATACAATCTGGCCCGGTTAATAAGACATTCAATGCTCTTAAAAAGACAAATACAAAAAAAAAAACAGTCATTCAAAATATACCATGACAAAATTAAAACAATACGTCATATTTTATTTTATTTATATACAGACCAAGGCCAAAAAAATAGAGAAAACAAATAGAACAAATAAATAACTGACTAGTATTAGCTGGGCGCGATTAGAGTGATGGATCAAAGTTAAAATCTTCTAGGCTGACATAATGATAAAGGAAACAAGAATAAAACGTGACTAGAGGTTAATGGAGACTGATGGGTCGAGCCATATTGTTGTACAAATCTAGTATTTGGATATATAGTTTATGGATTAAAGGTCATCAACTAGAAGTTATTAAAATCAATTTTTTCAATTTATCAATAGTTAAATTATTAAAAAATACAAAGCGAATGATTAAATCATAAAAGCATAAATAAAGGCTCCTATCCGGGAGTCATGCCTCCCCTCCTTTAATCCGGGCATCAATATGGTAGTACGACATACACATAATATTTGAATTTTTTTGTAGATTCCGAGCGAATTTAGTTTTACTACAGTTTGGACTCTTTTAAAATATTTTTTTAGTGTTTGTAAATAGTATATTTTCGATGTAAAATCTTGCTCCAGTCACTCTATTTAGGGATGGTGTCTGAATGTAGCAAACCGTTTGCCGTTTTTTTTTTATTTTCCTTGTATTTTTCTTAACAGCGGGGAAAAAAAATAACGTCGGAATGATGAGAATATTTACGAAATACCGCGGTTTCTTAAAAATTCCAATCTTTTTTCCTTTTCGAATTTTTCCCATAATTAGAAACCATTTGCAAGTCCATTATTTCCCCGTGGAATTCCCCCGTTTTGGTCAACTTCTAGTGGTTTCCATGGGATTAAATGGTCTCAAACTCGCAAATTGTTTAAGAGCATTGTTTTGTTTTGTAAAAGAAGGTGTTTTTTGGGCTTTGAACACTCCTACAGTTCTACAGAAAACCCCAATAAAACTAGAGGGATGACATTTTGTATACTGATTGAGTTAGTGTCAATGTGTGGTTTTTCGACTTTCAAACCTCGTCTTTGCAATTTGTTAAAATTTCACCATTTGTATTATTATTAATTTGTATTAATTTTTTTTTTTTGAAGAATTATAGTTGTAATAATATACTATTATAGTGTTATATTATGATAATATTGTATTCTGTTATCTATTATTCCAAAAATTAGTATTCTATAATAAAAAATATGTAGGAAGAGAACTCTATACTATGGAGACTGAACTTTACTGCTCGCGGGTGTTATTATTCAGTGGAAAATAATCGAGACCTGAAATTTTCGCTGAATATATTATGTATATTATATACTATTTCCTGGAGAACGTCACATATCAACTAACTGGCAATATAGACAAAAACATATTCTGTGTAGAAATCCCTTAATCTTGGTTTTAGAAAAAAAACACAAACTATATTAAAAAAGATAATGGGGACGGGGTGCAGCCACTGTTATAAGTAATTTAATGTATACCTATAAGCAAACGATAAACCATTAGTTATAAAAAAAACGATTCTGAGCGGAGTTCAGTTGATAGTGATGCTTTGTCAACAATATATATGTCTTATTATAGTAAAAAAAAAAAAAAAAGCTTTCTATATTTCCTTTAATAATATATATTTAATGTTGTACCGATTTTCACTGTTTTCCTACGTTTTTCCAGGTTTTCCATTTTTATCCCGGTTTTTCAAATTTGATGTGGAAATCGAAAAATGACCTCTCTAAAGTACCTCCCTTGTGAAATTTCCTTTTAAAATCATTGTTATCATTAAAAGTTGGAGCAAAATTGCTGGTAGAAAAGTTGTCCATGGAAAAAATAAATCGTAAATTACATTTATTATATTTCATACATTTTTCCGTTTTTTTTTATTCGGTTTTTCGCATTTGATGAAAAAACTCTGGAGAAAATCGAAAAATGACTTCTTTAAATTACCTACCTAAGCCGATTTCCCTTCAGAAAAAGTGATACACGTAAAAATCCTAGCAAGTCTTCTGGTAGAAAAGTTGCGTACAGATAAAAAAAAAAAAAACATCTTTTTAAAACCATAAGCTTCTTCGTTCCACTCAGAATCTAAAATTAAGATGACAATTTAAAAATTGCAAAAAAGACAACTTTGCTTTTTGAAATATTTTTATCTTTTAATTTAATCATTTTTTTTTATTACTAAAAGCTTCGTCGCTGAAACCGTTCTTCTATTTTCTCCGCTAATTTTTTTAATGTTTCATAACTTGGTAGAAATGGTAGTTTTTTTTTTATATTTCTCAGATTAGTGTCTCTCAGTCGTACTCTTCCTCTTATCCTATTTATCGTCCCCACCATTATATTTATAATAAATGCGTTGTGTCCCGCATAGATTTATAATAAATGCTTTTAATTGTTTTAATGTTTTACGAAATTGGACATCCGACTCCTACAACCTTAAGATTTCGGGGAAATTCTAATGACTTCGTGGGCCTGATTCCCTTTAACTTCTAACCTTCGTCTACGGTACTCGTATACGATTTTTTTTTTTTGTTTTCTTTGGGATTGATCATGTGCCTGCAGCCTGCAGCACAAGACAAAGACTAATAATAGCGATCTAAAAGCGTAACTTCTGTACCTATATTTAATTAACTAAATACTATTGTACATTTAATTATAAAACCACATTGTCTATCGGAGCTTTTGATTGTTCGCTCGCCTACGTCGGACTTTTGATCGAAAATAAATTTCAATTAGATATGAAAACCATGTCGGATAGACAGTAACTATAAAACTTCTAATTCCTGTGTCAAAACAGTCTAGATTAACTAATTTGGAAGTCAAATGTACACAACATAAGTCGGGATCCGACTTAAAAAAAAGATCATTGTTTCATATACCTATCAGAATAAGCAAAAAAGAAGTCAGTACCCATTATTTTTATCTATTGGTCCACGTAAAATAATTCTTTGGGGCTTTTAAGACCGCACGCATATTTTAGAGCGTTGAGCATCAAGCGTGTTCAAAACATCAAACATGTTCGAATTTTAACGCTCGACGCTCTTGAAATTTATTTGACGGCGCGAACAGTCGATACCGGTAGTATGATAGACCTTATTCTACAAATATAAATGCATTTATTTTATATTATATATTAAAATAATGTAATATTATTATTAAAATAGGTAAATATAGGTAGGTGCCATAACAGACTTAAGTTTACAAAGCAATTATGGATTATTTTTAGAAATTAATGCGGTATGAACTTCAACTCTTTTATTTTCCAAAATTGATTTTCTTATAGTTGGATTGTCTAAACGAATCGCAAGATGATCTACCCTAATGAAAGGTATGATAAATGCTGAAAAAATAAAAAAATGTTTATATTCTAGATATTAAATGACCCACAATGCTAAAAAATAACGCGCTGCATTATGCGCACCTTTGACCCTCGACGCTCAACGCCCTGCAATGTGCTCGCGGCCTAAATGTCATGGGTCCGGTACCCGCTTTCAGTATACCATTTCGGGTTACCGAAATTTATAAGAATCGTTCTCGGACAACCGCTTGTCGCCGACCAACGGACACGAGACCGCACCGGTAAAATAAAGAAACAGATAGAACGTGCCCGTACTAATCTTAAGAGAGGGTCGGCCCCCAGACTAACGGCTGAGGCCGATTATCAGATAAATTTCGGGTGGGTATCGAATAAATCGACTAAGTGTTGGTATGTGGTACTTTTGGAAACATTTTCATTTTTAACGGTCTTCTAACAGACGACCTACAACATTTTTGGACATAGGTATTATTGAATTTCATTATGAGTGTGCAGCCACGATCCGTGGTAAATCGAAACGAAAAATATTCGCGAGGTAGTAAGGATAAAAAAAAAATCGCTTCGCCGGCTTTTCTGATTGTTTTCGAGAACCAACATTTCCGCGTCTAGCCCCGTCCGTTCTTTTATTATCTACGGTCGCAATACGGTGAAAAGAAATAAAAAAAACCCGAACGGTCGCAAGGTTCGCGACCGTTTCTTCGAAAAGAAAAATCTCTCGTCGTCGTCTTTCTCGTGTACATTTTAGTGTTTTCTATTCTGTCCATAATCGCGCCGTACATGGAAATGTCGTCTGTAATAATATAATATTATATAATATTTATGTGAATTATTATTATAGGGACCGAAAACAATTCCCCCTCCTCCCCCGAATTCCATCTGCCCCGAAACGAACGTCCAATCGCGGAATGCGAAAATAATGCGTGCGCCGCTCTTGTGCTGTGGATTTTCCTAGTATTTTTTTTTTCCATGGTCTCTGTGCAGCGTGAAAAACACATAACCACGCGCATGCGCATGCACACATGTACATGTACACAATTAGACGATTGATTTTTATGATGCATCACTCGAGAACGAGTGAAAACGCGCTCGAAAATAAACCTTCGAAAAGGTATTTCGAAAAGCTAAAATGGTCGGTGACGGGTCGATTTGAAAAAAAAAAAAACTATTTTCTAACAACGCTTGAAAACGCTATGAACGCGCAGTATTTTCATTTTTTTTAAATTCAGTTTTTCGCGCTGCGGGCATTATAAAAAAATAAACCGCTTCGCGTTGGTATTTCGTTTTCGCACATATTGTTTTATAGATTACTCTAATTATTGATTTCGAGGGCCGCGTTAGAGGGGCGGGAGATTTTTAAAACTTCTCTACACCCTATTTCGATTATTTTTTTTTCTTTATCTTTATCGCGTCGGGTTTTTTTTTTTTTCTATCTGGAATCTCTTAACGTTTTTAAGCGCGTTTACAAATCCGTTCCCCAATATTATACGATTTACAGTCGACTATAGGTATATTATGTACAGTATACGCAATTTAATACGCATTAAAACGCCGCCGCCGTATTATATAAAAGGTATACGGACGGTATAATATTATACATTTATACGTATCATGATATTATTATTATATCCGACCGCGGCGGCGGTAATAGAAAATAAATTAAACTTTCCTGCGGTTCCGCGGGTGGGAAACGCGCCGCTCCGTTTCGCGGGAAATTCGTATTAAAAACTTCTTTTTTTCTTTTTCTCCTTCCTCTTCTTTTTTTCTCTAAAAAACGTCAGTTGGCCGCTTTTGTCAACAAATAACGGCACACCGGATACGTGTATATACGTATATAAACGATATATATATATATGTGTGTGTGTGTGTGTGTACCCGCCCGTGCGCGGTGTGAGTCCCCAGTGGTTTTCGAGCGCGCACGCGTGTGCATACCAAATGAATATAACAGTTACGTGACCCACGCGATGCAGTTGATAATCATTCGTTTTTATACACGAAATCGAATTATAATAAAAAAAAAATATATATATATATGTATACGTATATATAATAATAACGAAAACTCGGAAACAAAAGGTTTTTCAATCGCTTTACCTATATATAGGTACACGTATATTATACAGCGTGTTCCAAATGTCTCGTATCACCTTTTCATTCAATATGGTATCTTCGTGGGGCAAATCAACACGTCGAAATGAGGGTTTTCTTTTTCTTACTGTCATAATAATTATAGTAAGAAAATTCTAATCGAACGGCACGAGTATCAACGTTTAGTTAAAACATAGGCATTGAGTTTTCGATTTCGTAAAACTAATAATAATAATAATAAATTATTTAACTCAAAATATGATTAATATAATATTAATATAATCAACATAATATAATACAATCATTTCAAATCGTAATTGTTATTTTTTTTTTTTTTTACACGATATGACTACTATTCTCTATAAGCAGGCTTGCGAATCGTATTATTCATATTGGTATTAAATATAGATACAACAATATAAACACAAAAGACTATATTATAGTGATATTAAGGGTCGTTCTCGCAAACGTAAAAAAAACCCGTTTATCTGATTCTTAAACTGAGTTCAGCCATAAAATGACCACGATTAGTCGATTATCTTATAAACTCAGTTAAAAAATCAACGTTTACGCTGGTGAAAACGGGCCTATGTTGATTATTAATAAATAGTAAAATGCAGGTAATAATATTGTTATTATGTTGATTTTCGGCAAAACATGCGAATCACGTGCTTTAACCAATCTCGACTGAACCGCCGATTTTTCTTCTCCCTAATAATTGATAACATACCTAGTACAGTCTTGCTTCGTCGATTTTTATTTTTAAATTTAAACTGTTCAATAAGAATTATCTTACTATGAAAAAAAAACTCATTCTCCACGAAGATATTAAAGGTGATACGGGCGTTTTACGAGATACGAGGCCACTTTAGAGAATAACGAAAACAACCGGTTTTTCGACTAATCCGATCGACTAAATTCTGATATATTTCAATATGATGTCTACAAATCCGGATTGTAAATTTCATGATAACTATTCAGGTTTCTTTTTCTCTCCGTCTCCCAATTCGCAGAATTATAACAGACGAGTATTGGGTTCATTTTATTAAAGTGCTGAACAATAATAAACGCACTTGAATTAGTTTTACAATTGAGTTTGTTTTATTTGTATTTTTTACTAAAAACGAGCTACAAAAAATAAAATTACAAAATAATTTTCGAGTTTTAAAATCCAGAGTCTTGAACTTCTAGTTAATCCGTAATTTTTCCTTAAAATAAATCTGTATTATTATTATATTATTTTAAATCGATTTCAAAAGACCGGGTTTTATATTAGAGCGGATTGACATATTATCAAATTGAAATATTTAAAAAAAAAAAAACATAATCCGTGCTGTGTCGTCGTTATTCAAAAATTATTTTTTCATTTATCTAATATTGTTAAAAGAAATGTATAAACGTTTTTAAATCGTGATATTTCACACACTCGTATATCGTTGAAAAAATTTAAAAAAAACGACGACATTGCACGAATATTGTTTTTATATTTAAGTTTGATATTATAATTGGTGACGTGCACTTTTCCGAAATTGTAAAATCATGGACTTTTCCGGGAAAAATTCACTGAAAAGTTTACTATAAACATTATTCAATTTTCTGACTGTACGCGTAATTCCACGACAGACAAAATATTAAAAACTTGAAATTTATATTTACTTTACTCAAATAAAATTCATATCTAAATATCGTATATATTTATTTAATTATACGGTATTTATGTCCATCGTGTTCGTGCACTTGAGAAGTTGTGAGCTGTGTCGTTGTATGTACATTTATGAATTATACAAACAGCAGGATAAGAGGCGTATGATGGATTTACCGGTAAACGAAGACACTTTGATTTAAGAGAGGAACATGAAACGGAAGTTATAATTTATCATAGTTCAATAATTGTTATTTACTCGAATATTAAATTGAATTCGAACGGCGGAGGTGACGGCGGCGTAGAGTTTGTCCCGTCGCTGAACGACGCGATGACGCGCGGAGGCGGTACGACGGAAACGGGCGCGTTATTTATGTATTTAAACTATTTCATTTAAAATGTACACAATTGTCGTATGTTAAATATTCAAATTAATTCTGTAGGCACTGAATCGCCTACCTACCTAAAGACCGTCTACTGCGGTATGGACCGCGTATTTGTTTTTACGATCGAGTCTTCCGAGTGAGGATTATTTAATGTATTCGTGTTGAAAAGAAAAAAAAAAACCGTGTTTAATACTCGCGGCGTGATTACAAAAGGGCGAGGGAACGATGTTGCGTTGAAACTCCGAGTTTTACAATCGGTACTCCCGGGCAATTCGCATAATATTACCGTGTTTTAAACTTTGCGAAATCTTTTGACGATTGTACTAAAATATTCCGCGCTGTCGCGATTTGAACGTGTTTATACATTTATAGCCAACGAGATTCGATTGATAATTGAGGGCGGGGGAAGCCCCTCGCGTTAATTTCGCTATGACGCACGCGATTCGCAGCGCCCCCGAAATTATATTCTATTATAATATCTGTTCTCTTATAAATTATGTTATTAAGAACTGCTCCCGCAGCACAAGCTCTGCTTGCCGGGGTGACGCTGCAGTATATTGTACTCATGAACGCATTTTTGATGTAAAAACTTGTCGACGTTGCTATAAACTCATTATTATTGTATTATTACAATTAGTATTTGCGCGTTTGATTATATGCGTGGGTTCGTGTTTCCCGGATCGTGAAAAAAAAAAAAATAATAAAAAATCCATCCTTGTACCTATATATATGTTAATTTTAATTAAAATTAATCGCGACGATTCGACGGAAATCAATAATCGTTATAATATTGTTAATCGCACCCTGTAAGAACAAGAAGACTGTCGCCGCAATCGAAACTTAACACTGTTGACATATTGCGGGGGCATCAGTGGAATCGCACAAAATATGGTTCTTTACATAACGATTGACTCTAATGAAAGCAATAAAAAAAACTTCGATGCGTAGGTATTGTGATAATTCATATTTTATTCTGAAAATTGAAAACTGCAATCATTATTGCTGTTGACGTATGTGATGGTTTACAGTTATTTATTTTTGCATAGTTTAACACTGCACGGGCGGTTCGTTACGACCGGTATTCAATACGGCCATTTTTATGGTTTGTGGCCGTTTCGAATTTGTATTACGGTTTTATATATTGATCGCCATAAGTCGAATAATTGTGCGGCTACATTTTCCCGCATATATAATAAGTATAATATATGCAATACGCCCCGAAATCCGAATGTGTTTGCAGTGTTCCGCTGTAGAGTTAAACAATTTGAAACCGCTCAGAAATTGAATATATCGCGTGTCGTACGTAATTAAAAATTACGTATAGAACGGCAAAAGAACAAAAATAACGCGCGAGTTTCGTAAACCCCTGAAAATTGACGTCCTGGTAAATATTTGAAATTTAAAATTCGTTTTTACCCGAAACGACACGTCGTACCGGTTATTTATTTTTTTTTTGTTTCTCCGTGTTTTTTTTTACAATCCCCCTACACCCCCCCCCATCATATAAAAAATACGACGTTCCGTGTGCAGCAGTCGCGCGTTTCCACTGAATCCATACAACATAATTTAATAGGTTCGTTGTGAAACGTCATCCGTCGTCGGTGACATACTATACATTGTACGTTTTCGTTATTACGGTTATCGTGGTCATTATTCGAATATTCCATACACGCGCGTAAATTTCATTTGACTAACGACTTCCGCACAATGTGCGTATGTGTGTGTGCGTGTGTGTGTGTTTTTTTTTGCGTGTTTAACGAGAACAAAAATTTACGCGTAATTTAATCTACGCGAGTGTACACGTGTAGGTACAATAATAATATTTCGGGCCGACTACGCGGCGCATACGTGTAATACATACAACAGGACAACGTTATGTTATTGCATTGTCGCGAATGTTTCGCGCGGTTCTTACGCGTACCGCGGAGTGTTCCGATATTCGATTTTAAAATAGAACGCGACCTTGATACGTTGACGTTGTTTGGTGTCGTTTTAAGTATGTGACTAAAACGAGAAAAAAAAAAAACTCCCGGTATTTGATGCAATACCGCTGTACGGCGGATGTGTAGTGTTTCGTTCGCGCGAAATACTACCGCCCGTCGCCCCGCGAACCGCGCGCCCCGGGCCGCGCGGCGGTTACCGAAAGCCCGGGCGCCGATGCGGATTTTCGTGCGGTTCCGCGATGGTTTCGATTGGTGGGGAGGGGCGGGGGAATCGACAATGACGAAAAAAAAAATAAACAGCTTATACTGGGGACGGGTGCGGCCACTGTTGCAGATGGATGGCGCGAGGAAGGTGGGATACATCGTATAGTTATTCAATTTATACCTGTCCGCCAGCGATATACCATCGTTCGATGGCGGAAAAATATTCGGGGCCGCAGTTCGGTTATACGTGTTTTTTTGAGAGGCCGTGATATTTACGGTTTTCGTCAAAATTCGATTTTCAAACTCTTGTAAAAAAATACTACGTATAAACTAAATTTTTTTTTTTTTTTACGAAACTCCTGTCAAATTTTCAAGCGTTTCTGTTGGATTTCACAATTTGTCTACAGGGTACCTGCCAAATAAGAATTACGTAAAAAAAAACCGCAATTCGAAAAAAAAAATCGTATATATATCGTCTTTTTCGGTTTTCTCAATTATCATGAAAAATACTTTAAATATCGAAAAACGACTTACTCTGTCAGCGATGAATTATTAATTGGAACAAAATCGATTTTTCGTCGTTTTTCGATTGAAGTAATATTTCCGGTAGAAAACTTAAGTATAACACAATGAAAACGGTTTTACGGTATTTACGGGAAACGCCGTAAATACTTCCCGTATTGCTTATAATTTTCTTTCGGGTTTTCCCGATTATCTCGAAAACCTCTTGGAAAATCAAAAACCGACCTCCACGAATGCAGCAGCCAGAGAAAATTACCTATCAGAAAAGGCGCAGTATTCTATACTTCGGAGCAAGCTTTCTGGTAGAAGAGTTGTTCACAAACACAAACAAAATAAAAAACAAAACCACATCGTACTAAAACCAATGGATCCCTCGCTACGCTCCGAATCTAAAACAATGGCCGGTACCCCTGCTATATACGGCGGGCTGGTTTTTATTTCATTCGAAAATCGTACTATTCCTGTAATGTTGTCGTATTCGTCCACAATAATTGTAATTTACTGCAGCGCGATCACAGTCATTACGCGAAAATATAGACGGCGCTGGACGGGGCCCATTGATTAAATCGAAAAAAAATACTCGGGATGGCCGTACACCCGATGCGCGGTCACACTCCGTCCCCTATATTTAGTCGTATATTATGATAATGTTACGTTACGGTTAATGTCGCGTGCTGTACGCGCACTTTTTGCACATAAAAACCGATATTGTGCCGCGAAAGCTTTAATACCGGAACGACAACATATATTGTCTGTTTTTGCACGTTGATTTTTTTTTTCTCGATATTTTATAATAATTTACAAAACGAATTACGGACGCGTAAAACGATGTTAAAATTGTTTAAATAAAACCCGACGAACAAACACAGACACTAATGCTGCTCAGAACTTTAAGATTGATAACTGGCCGATTAATATTACAATGTGCCCGTTGTAATGTTAATACGAGCAGCGCGAAATCGGTTAAAGTGTCTAAGTATACCGGACACAACTACCGATTCCACAACATTTATACTGGCCGTAACGCGAAAATCTGACAAGTAATTTTATTTTTTAGATTCTGTTCGATGTTTTAAAATTCCCTCCATCCCGTGTAAGAATTACTACGGATAGAATTAAAAATAAAAATCGTTTGCGAAATCCGAAATATTATCCATTTTGTAACAGTTTAGTCACTATAATATAATATAATTCGAAACAAAATTTCGGTGTTCTAGAAAAGTCTAAAATTTCTTTTCTTCCTTTTTGAATGGGCACGCGGCAGCGCTTATCTCGCTTGCCCCGCCCGACCACACGCCACTGCCAGAAGGATATTTCGGTATTGTTGTGGTTTTTCGGTTCGCTGTAAATTCCGTGAATTGAATTTTTCATTTTTCATTTTCCGGCAGACGCATACAAAAAAATATGGGGGGAGGAAGAAATAAAACTCCGAATAACCAATCGTCTTTTGTGGTTTCCCGTTTTAAATCGATACAATTCCGCTAGCCTTGTGTACCCATCTATACAGAGTGTTCTACAGTGTTAAATAACTTAGTTATTTGATTTTTTTCAATCCCTCAATCACTGATAAATATAACTTTATTTTTTCAATTTTAAACATTTTCAAAATGATCATTTTGTAAAAAATTGTAATGTATCATGCATTTATATCCGATCAATAGTTTTTACAGAGTAATAACCGTTTTAATTTCCAGAAAATTGGGGTGAAAACAATTCACTTTCAATAGAATAACACGTTACACGATAAGGATTCACAATCACTACGTCATTCCTTATCTATCACTGATAATTGTTTTCACGCCAATTTTTTAGAAATTGAAACGGCTTCGAAATTTTGAAAAATTAAGTTTATTTTTTTTTTCGTCATTATGAGGGATGAAAAAAAATGTATGTTTTTCTCAGCACACTAACCATACACAATACTCGATTGAAACCAAAAAAAAAAAAAAAAAAAAAAATCGAAAAAAAAATATATAACAATGTGGGCCACTCTGTATATGTATATATAAAATATGTAACCGACTACGGGCTTTCGAATTAAATAAGGTTTCCTTTTTATTCCCGCGAACAAAAACGTTTTGATATTCCGCTTTCGTTTCGATTTCATTTTGTCCCGCGGTAATTTTAATATACCGTTGGTTCCCGTAGTGAAGAAAGTGAATTTTAGATTCCGAGGGTGGCGAGGGAGCTATTGGTTTTACAATGTTGTTTATTTCTTCTTTCTTTGTTCTAGTCTGTGGACACGTTTTTTCCCTAGTAAACTTGCTCCGATTTTTAAGTGTAGCAACTTTTTGAAAGCTCAAGTTGTCTTTATGGTACTTTAAAGAAGTCATTTTTTGATTTTCGACGCTATTGTTTAAATAAAAGCACTTAAGTAGGAAAAAACATATAATTTTATGATTTCATTATTTTATAAAACACGGACGACGTTTTCTATCAGAAAATACGATTTAATCGAAAAATCACAACACACTTTTTTTTTTTTGATTTTCAATTTACTCTCTTACGGTATAATTTCCAAAACGTTTGAGCTTTTAAGGAATTTTAATTTTTGGGAGTTTTTTGCTGTAATTCAATTATAAATATACGTAGAGACTTGAAATTTAGTAATAATTCTTATATTAGACTTACCTAGACGTGGTAAAATTTTCAAAATCATCAGACAACTTTTTTTTTTTTTAATAAACGTTTTGCAATCAAATTTAAATCAAAATCACAAAAATTTACGGCATTTTAAATTATGTATTGCCGAACTGAGTTTATGATTTATCGTTGCTTACAGATAATAAATAACATAGCATTATGCATCCTACCTTCTCAACTTCTCACCTACATCAGTGGCCGCTCCCATCCCCAGTATCAGCTCTTTATTATTTTTTCAATATATAACAATAATATTTCGTCTGATTCTTCATTTCGCTCCCCATTTATTGTTTGATCAAAATTTCACGAATCGTTGCGCACACAGAGAATGAGGGGGGGGGCGAGTCATAACCCCTCTTGAAATTTCTTCCTTGAATGCATTTTTTTTAATCAAATTTTATATTCAACAACATACTATCCTACACCACGGAATAAAATAAAATTCAATTTGATCAAAAATCCTTTATTTAGTAATAACAGCGATAGTATATTGTACTGATAGTATGTGCTATCCCCCTCTAGGAATTTATCATAAATAAAAACCCCCTCCCGGAAAAAAATCCCGCGTGCCGCTGCTGGCACGAGTGTAGACACGAAACGATCGGAAATAGTGTCGCGCGTAAAATAAGCATCGCCGTACTGACATTTCACTAATATAATGTGTGCAGCGCGTGTATTTTCTGAATTTAATTCGTTCGTATTGAAAACTAGTATAATGCGTGTGCGTAACTCCAAAATTGACCGAAGCCCTTTATCGCCGGTGTAGGTGTAGGTATACGAAAGATATTTTATGATGAATACACGGGGAGTTTACGGTGCGTTTGGCGCGGGTTTAACCGACGGGATTTATGTTATTATTTATTGTTGTTTAGGCCCGGGGGCCCGTGATAATATATTATAATACGTATAAGCTCTCGATGTAGAATAACGCGCCGCTCGGGGGTTTACAGGGGAGAGGTCGGTCAGTGGTCCGAATCCATTATACCGTGCAATATCGGTTTATTACGTGGTTCCGGGGGTATACGGTGTACCCGTTAACCGAGGCGTCCGTGGCTAGCGGGAGTGCGGGGTTGCGTTGCGATTGCGTGCGGACCTTTTTCACTATTACGATTGCGTACGTTCTATCTACCAAAATTCAATGTATCGTTGCCGTTGCGTGTTCACAGGCGTGAAATTTGTGAAAAATGTGTAAATTAAATTATTTCAGAAAAAACCTTTGATTAACTGACATTTAAGGTACCCATAGTTTGGTAAACGTAATTGCGACATTATTTCCATGACTACTATTCCAACACTAAAGTTAAACAAAAAAATAACCGCGTGTAACTGCCTATTCGCTCAGTTTAAAATAGATGGTAATGTATTACATTTTTTTTCTGCAGGGACTGGTTATCGATACCAGGGTTTTACATTATAATTTGTCCGTTTATTAATTTATAATAGTTTTTAATTGACTACTATTGGTTTGCAATAGTAGTCGTACGCAATCGTATATCACCGGAGAGCGGGACTTAGACTCTATAGATCACCCCGAAACAATTACGGGTCTGGTAAATCGATAATGCGCGAACGACGCGCGCGAAAAAGGCGTCGGTGTTTCAGAACTTTTCAGTATAGAACAGCTTTATCGGCATACTTTTTTCGGCGGTTTAAACAATACAATAAAAAAATCGCTTAACGTATTACGCGTGTTGATTTTAATGCGCTTTGCCATTACTCGACCGCACTTAAATATTCTAACGCGGCGCATTTGAAACGAGCATTTCGCGTTCAAGTCGCCGCGGCATGTTACGCGTGTAACTTAAAACGCTCGAAAGACGTAAACAAAATCGCGGCTTATCGTAAAACGCGCGTTGAAATAACACGTACAATATCTTTAGAAATTGACCGTTCTACTTGAACGTGTGACCGTTCGAAAAACCCACGAAATCGTGAAGTTCCGTGAACTCGCGCGTAACAATTTTATCGAAAATAAAAAAATACGTACTCGCTAGATCAAATTACCTTGAGGTTTTTTCTTTTTCGACAATTCAAATATTTTCTTGAACATGATTAGGATCATATTTTGTTAAATATTATAATGTAAGGTGCACTCACCGCTCAGCATAACCTACAGTATTCCTGTTATGATCACTCATTCGTAATTTTATTCGTAAAATGTAACGATTTTGTAATTTTATAATCCGTTTGGTTACTGTTGTATTCGTCTGTCGTTAATTTAATTTACTGGGCGATAAAAATTATTACAAAAACATAGATAGTGTAAGGTTTTCGCGTGCAACGGGAAAATGAAATTCGAATATATTAATACTAATTTGTCGTTTCATAATTATTATTCTAAGGTATGAAATTCAAACTGAGTATTGATAATCTTATATATAATATTTACCAGTTTTGTTTTTTTTTTTTCTTCATCGATAATCGTATGGACAGATTAATACAAATATTAATTGAAACAAATTCTCAAGATGGCCATAGACGACCATAACTCCGTCCTACTTCGTTTCATAAAAATAATTTATTTCAGTAAATAAAATATATTACCCGTTGTTGCAGTTTAACTTACGTGTGATTTCCGTTGTATTTTTTCAGTGATCGCCGGAAACGTCGGTGCACCAACTGCTCGATCTCAGGCTGTGTGCGAACGCTTGCTATATTTACGTCGGCGCGGTTTTACGGGTCATGGCCGGAACATGTTGAACACGTCATGTCGGGAAACGGATACGCGGCCGGGCAACGACAACGATGCGGTGTCTCCGCCCGTCGCCGTGCTCCAGGACCCGGACAAATCGATGCGACTGCAGGCCTGCTGGATCCGGTTGTGGGACAGGTGGGCGAGCGAGCAGCGCATCTTGGTCTTGTACCAGATGCACATCAACCACGTGCTTTCCCGGGAACGGTCGAAGTTAACGCTGGCTGGCGGTCGGGTAGTGACATGCAGACGCGTGAAGCATCAGCACCACCAACAGTCTTCCGGGGGCGACGGCGGCGTTAGGTCTCACCCGCTACGGTCTTGGTCGGACGCCACGGCCAACATCGCGGCCGCGGCGGTGCCCGATTCATTTGCGTCGATGTTACCGGTGGTCGTCGGCGGTCCGCCGGACCTCGCTGCCGACGCGCGCGACCTGCGCGTCCTGTCCAGCGCAGTCGACCGGCTCCGGGGGTCCGGTTGGTACTACGAGGGCGCCCGGGCGCAGGCGTGGACGGCCAACGCCCTCGCCAGCATGCCGCCCGGCCGGTTTTGCGTCCGCGACTCAAAACACTCGGAGCACCTGTTCACGATGGACGTTCACACTGGTGGCGGGAACATCGTGAGCGTTCGGTTCACGTACGCGGACGGGCTGTTCGGGCTCGATTCGATGCGCCGGCACAGCGGCCGCGGCGGCGCCCTGTCCTTTCCGAAATTCCGGTGTCCGATCGAGCTGCTCGACTACTACGTGCGGTTGTCCCGGATCGAGGCGGCACGGCGGACGCTCGTTTACTCCGTGTGGGTCGACGGGTGCGGCCAGTTGTTCTCGTGGATGAACCTCTGCCGGCCAATGGTCAAGGTGGACCCGGTCGGGTTCCCGTCACTCAAACACATGGCCCGGCTGGTCATCAACCGGCACAAGTGTCTGATCACCATTACTCCTACATCACTACCAAACGAACTGATCGAATATTTACTCCAGTATCCGTATAGCCTGTGATTTTGTACAAAATTATCATTATGATTTTTACTCGTTCGTTTTATTTATATTACTTAATTAATATTGTTAGTTTTACCCGTATTATTAAAATGTTATGCAATCAGACGACCTCGTACGTACAAACTTTAAAAACCTATGTATATTATATTATTTATTATGTAAACACTAATTTAATAATTTAAACACGCCGAGAGAACACCTCGTATTTTATAATATAATATTATTATAATAGTGATCCGGGCATTTTTATTACTTGACCGGCCACGTTCCGCCTATCCGCACACGTTTCCCCGGACGATTATCGATTTCGTAGCACGGTAATGTTGTACACGATTGACGAAATCTATCGGTTTGTCTTCTTGCGACGTTTTATTATTTTCACCAAACGTATTAGGTACGCAATCGGCGGCGCGGTGAAATTTCATCACCCGACTTAAAATTTGGGATCCGCCTACCGGCGTACGTATAGGCGGTCTTGGCGCCTACATGGCGATTTGCAGGGGAGGAAAGTAACACGGCGAAATTCGTGCTAATAATGCAGTTATAGGTACGAGTCGGCATCGACTCTCAAAGACGTACGCGTCTCCTTTTCGCCTCTCCAATTGTCACCGATGGAAGCGAGCATTACTTAAATTATTATTCTCTGCGTTTTTAGCCTTTTGAAAATGTATTGTTAGCCTATCAAATATCAAAATCGTAAAACCGTTTAGGATAATTTATATCGTGTATATTATTTGTTATTTTGTTATGGTTTTAACTATAACCAAATTCCAGATTTGAGATTTCCCGAAGTTACCTAACAGGCAACACTGTTAGTTGAGTTTTATTAACAATTTAATAGATCGTGATATTGCAATATTTTAACGCCTACCAGTATACCTATCTACCCGTCTTAAATATTCTGAGGCCGAAGTCTCCTAAAAGCCCTACTGTAGGTAATATTATATAATAATGTGTTGACACGAATTTTAATTTAGCCTCGTGTGTAATAATATGCATGCATTTTTCCTTGGGTATCTCTAACGTGGTTACCGTACAACGAATAATTAATGGATAATATAATAGTAGGTATGCGTATTTATTGTAAGAGGTATATCATAATGCACACGCATCTAGTTAGAGAAATAAATTTAAAATAATCATCACATAATAATCAGTTATATTATTTTCGTTTTAAATAATATCGGTCTTGTAAGTTATGAACGTGTTACACATTAATGCGTAATGTCCATTAATCAATTTGAAATATTTCATCATCAGTGTACCTAGTCCATAGTGTGTAACGACGAAGTATTGTCGTGACGTGCAATCAGCATTAACCGTTCCAAACCTAAAAAGGTAAATATGTCCGATAGGTATAGGAGATTGTCATATCTTATTTTGACGGATAAAAAGGAACCGCGTAAGAGATTGTACGATCTTTTAAATTATGATAAAAAGGTTATACAATCGTTTAGGAGTTCATATATACGAGCATAAAATCGATACCACTGAAAGGGTTGTAATCAGAAACGTAACTAGAGTGTGCTACTGCCAGACGACCCCGTGGGTTATTGATATAGGCATGGCCTATTGCATTATGTATGTATAATGTATGCATTTTTATTATATATGTTAGATTCTGAGTAGAGCGAGGAATGTATTGGTTTTACAATGATGTTTGTTTTTTTATTTTTGTGGACGACTTTTCTACCAGAAATTGTTTTCCAATTTTCAAATGTATCACTTTTTCTGAAAGGAAATTCGACTGGGGTGGTACATTAAGAAGGCCATTTTTTAATTTTACCAGGGGTTTTCACAATAAATGGTTAAAAACGCAGGAAAATTGACCAAATGTATATAATATTACCGCCTTTCAAAACATGTATAACCGAACTTCGCTTGGAATCGTTTTTCGTTATTAATGATTAATCGTTACGTATAGGTATGTTATATGGATTATATAGATATAAATCGTAGGTATACATTAAATTTTCCCTCTGCCTTAACTTCTCATCTACAACAGCAGCCCACTCATCGTGCGAAGTATGTCCGTTTGTATTTTTCTTTTATTATTTACCTTAATATATTTTGTTCTGATATCCACGGGTTCAGATCGGGTTCAGACTCGCATTACACACATTATATAAAGAATATAATACATAAAAATACATATAATGTTATTCAAATTTCCTATGATGTTAATTACTTGCAAACACGCAACAACGCGAGTAAATGTGTCATTGGTACGTTTAAAAAACAAAAACAAAAACAAAAAAGTTAACTTTTATTGTACTAGTGAATAATATAATTTACAAACTCGGCCACAGTTGTTTAAGACGAGAAAGACTTCTTTTACCACCCAATAAATTGCAGTGCGCGAAAAATTTTTTTTTTTAATACTCGGAATGCGCAATAAGACTTTCAACTATACGAAATTCTTTTTATAAAAAAAATACCGAGAATAATATCTAATTTTCTGGACTTTTTTAGCTGCCGTTCGGCCAATTGTTGTTTCCGAGAAATCGTAATTGTTTTTGCGGCTGCCGGATACGGAATCAACAACAATGGTTATCGAATATAAATCTTCTCATTGCGGTCATCGCAAAAAGTGATCGTCAACTGAACACGTTTTAATGTGTTCCGGATTTTTTCGATGTTAATAAAATTATATAATAGGTATAAAGGACAATGTGCGAATAATTTGAACTGACGATTTTAATAATGCTGTGAGAATAGACGTGATGCTTTGTTCATCCATATCTAGTTCTAAGAGGACGTGAAACACCTCGCATTTAAGGGATTGTGTAAAGGTCTATTTTCTCAACGTTTTCAGAAAAACGAAATTTAATCAACTCCGTCAAGATTGCAGAACTCATTTTCAAATACATTAACAAATACGGTCCCGCGTCATTAACACGAGTAATAATTATTGTGCAATCGTGAAATTAACAAAAATATTTACGAAAAAACGTCTCTTGCGGGCAAGAACTACTCGGTTTTAAAGCAACCAATATTATTTTCACCGTAAAATAAATGTAATATATGCACTGTATAACGTTTGTTTTAGTTAATCGATATTACTATTAGAAAAAAATTATTCGAGTTTGAAAAAGTACAAATGTCACATTTTTTGGCAATAATTACTTTTACTTTTAAATTTTGAGTTAAGTGAGGAAATTATATTATTGATTTTTAATATGATGTATGCAATTCTCATTTTTTTTTAACCTACCAAATTTTCTACTAGATATTTTATTCCAATCAAAAGTCGATAAAAGAGGTTTTTCGTAACATTTTGGATCTAGTTGGTAAATGGGAATTTCATCGTTTTTTGATTTTCAAATTTCGTAACAATTGAAATAACCCGTATTAGAAAATCGGAAAAATAGGTTTTTCTAACCGAAATGTTCTGAAATCCCAGTGTAGCATTTTTGTTGAAAGAACATTTTTTTTAATTGATACATAAGAAGTTCGTTTTTTTGATTTTATTTTTAGTTTTCTGGAAAAGAAATGTAGGAAAAACATTTACGGAAATAACAATTTGTTATTTTGTTAGTTTTTCCAATTTGGTTAAAAATAACTATAGTGATTTTCACTGAATACTTGCATTGTCTTTTTCTTGATGTAGCAAAATGTTCAAACCATCTTGGCGATTTTTGAGTTATTATGTTGGTATGACATTTTCAGGTTTTTATTATTTGGTTTAATGTAGATAAAACTGTTTTAGCTGATCAGAAACAATTAAAAATTGTATACAAAGTTCATTATCGTTAGTACTTAGATATCGAAAAAAAAAGTTTAGCGTAATGCGTACTCCTGGTTTTATATACTCGTTTAAAATTTATACATGAATGTAAATTATAAAAAAGCTGTCCAAGGATAATGGGACGGCCCATGAAGTTGGTAGTTACACAGCAGACGTCTCACCAACAGCATTTTGCAAATTAATAAAAAATATCTCTTTTGTAAATTATAATACGAAATAATCGTAATAGATAAAGTATAGTATTTAAAATACAGAGTGTTACAGAAAGATCTGACAGATTACAATTAGAATTGTATACAGAGTGGTCAAGTTTTTCTGTCAATAACTGTATGTGTATGATGTCTGTATTGAACCATTCATTAATATTACGAACCTGACTAGGGGCATGGGTGTTCTAGAATTAATAATAACCAAAATTTATGAAATTGTGTAACGAATAAAGAAAACTACAGATTTGGTGATTTACATTATTTATATATGATAAAATGCTGTTCATTGAAATATTACTTTTATACGAGTACTTTATATTATTTTTGTAAAAAATCGTTAGGTCGGGTAAGGTTAGATTAAATTCTAGTGAATTGAGACAAAAATTTTAATTATTTTTTTATTTTAATTGTTGATTATTAATGACTATGACTATATTTATTATAATGTTCTATAAGGTACAGTTCGGATATATATTGAATCATGACTAAAAAATTATCAATACAATCTATAAAATGTATACAAGTAGATTGTAAGTTGTACTAAATGTTTAAAAGAAAAACGTTGAGCTTAATAAATAATTTCTTTTATGAGCAATTCAATTTCAAATTTTAACGATTGTCGTAAAAATCACGGCATTTCAACCGATCTTTAACGAAAACTTTGTTCAGAATCGTATTTCATCAGAAAGTATTTATTGTTACGTGTACAGATATTAATTAAATAACCACTTTACGATGTTTCTAACGGTTTTATTTTTTTTTTTGTATTCATAGTATCGTAAAAATAAAACTGACAGTGCGAGCTCAAGTCTCTTTTTCTACTGAAAAAATGTCAATTGTTTACCGAGTCTAAAGTCCAAGTCGTTTTTTCCCCGCGGTAAACATTCGCTACTGTCAAACCATGGGTATTAAACACCTTTTAATACACAATTGTAATAATTGATTAAAGATTAATGTCTACAACGTTACGCAACGTCGGATTCCGGATCAAAGTGAATTATTGCGAAATACCGTAGTCCGCCGAGCAATTAAATTTAATTAAATAACCTGCGCGTTAGTTATTTGTCGGTTTTTTAATTTTTTTTAGATTTTTAAGCTATCCGGTTTCAAGATTAAATTCAGACCTGCCGGGCGAAAGCCGTTTGTGTTTTACGTGAGCTCGTGGAATTTCGAAAAAATAAAACAACGTAGTACGGCACCTATAGGTATGTACGTAATAATTTATAAAACTCGTCCTAAACAGAAAAACGAAAATCGTATTGTTTAAAGAACGAATAACGGGAAGTATATTATTATATTATATACTGGCCATTGAACCGAACTACAGGAATGCGTCGTTTATTTGCGTTTTTATTTTTACCCACGAATAAAAATATTATCTTATTAAGTGCGTTTTTTTTTTCTAGTGCATATTATATTGTTATACGCCTCACGCGTATAAAACGTTTAAGGTTCTATAAATCGTGTGAAAAATTGCTCGTTAAATAAGTGTTTTTTTTTTTTTTATCGCCTTCATGAAAAAAATAATATTATCCTAAATAATCGATAACCGTGTTGAATTCATACATTTTGAACAATGTACTTTGTAAATATTACTGTACTCCCTCTCCATAATCATCCCATCGCCTATTTGAACGCGTCTTCTTGCGTTAGCCTTTATCATATTAGCCATACCTACCATAATTCTCGCTTACCCTAGCCCTTTTACCGTCTATAAAGGAATTCCGTCACGTTCCTTATTGGCAACTCCGACCTTCTCAGCTATTTTTTAACCGAACGAAATAACAGTTGATTCTGTTTCTCGCGATCGAATTACATGCACGCCTATAAATATAAGAACATTTGACGGTTACGACGGTTGCGTTTTAAGTGCAAAATCAAACGATCCTTTCCGCATTATTATAATAGGTACGTGTATGTAACGGCATTGGGTCTAATTGTGGCTTTTTATGTAACGCCCAGGAATGTTTTATAATATTACCTATTCATTTTTAAAGAAGAAGCGCATAATATATTTTGTTTTACACACAAGTCCTAAGTATATTTTTTATAATAACCAAAGAAATTTCATAAAATGACACACTGGATATCCCACATGGATAAATCCATTACAATATCACCGGAGAGGTTTTTTTTTTTTTACTCACATAGATGAGGACTACAAATATTTATATTTTAATAATTGTTTATGGTTTGGTGAAAAACTTTTTATTTTATTATTTTTGAAATAATCTAAGATAGCCATTGTTTTATTAAATTTATTGTTCTGAAAATTTGAATGTTTTGACATTTTATTTTCAGTAAATTCGTGATTTTAAAATTCAGAGAAAAAGTATGCAGCAAATTAGCCATAATTATAATGATAGTCAATTAGCGATTATGATTACAGCTTGCTGCATAATTATAGGTGTTTAGGTATTTTTCTCTAAACTTTAAAACAATTATTAAAAATTACGAATTTACTGAGAATAAAAAATCGAAATGTTAACATTTTCAGAAGAATAAACTCAATAGGTAATTAAAATAAAAAGGCTATATTAAAATTGTTCATAAAATTTAGTAATTTTTTTAAATTTTCTACCAAAATATAAAAAAATTAATTGAAATATAAATATTTGTAGTCCTAGTTTCAAAAAAAACAAAAAAATAGAATTTGTTTATTTTTATCTCAGGAGATATTGCAACAGGTATATCTTCGTCAGACACCCTATTTAAACAATCGTCAATATGAGGAATAGGGGAATCAATTCTATCTCGTCTTCCATGTCCTATAACGACTGATGAACACTTCAAAAGCATCACTTTCTTTGGTATAATATAAAATACTGTCACCGTTACATTTACAGTATAAATTCGATTTTTAAAACTCATGTTTTTTAAGCAATCGTTTTAGTCACGTGATTTTTTATTTTGTATTTCGATTTAGTACTAGTAACTTTGTTTACGAATTGTCAATATCGTATTTAAGTTAAAAGGACATTATTTTTTACGTCACATTGTCGCTTCAATAATTCTATAGAACATATAGTTCATATCGCACAAGTGGTTCTCCATGTACTCGGTACGACATTTTGTAGAATACTGAATCATGCATTTGGAAATGATAAACAATAAAGAGAGTGGAGAATAGAATTATCGACGTTATCTCTCAACAGCCGACGTTTCATTAAAATTATTGATGTTACAGATTACTATTGAAATCGGGTAGGTTAAAAATTGAGAAAATATTTAAAGCACATTAGCTCCGTTCGTGACGTTTATATCGTACTGAGAGATCTTCAACACTGGATCTATTTAATACATTACTTAAACATTGTTTTGATATTTCATACAATGCCTAGGTCATTTAAACAATTTTATAGATTATCAACTATATTTTATGTTTTATAGAATTCCTTTTAAACATCATACAAAAAGTTAAGGTTAAAGTTAAAGTTATATTGCCGTTAACATATACGAGTACACCGCTACACATTATATTCCCGGACGAGAAATTTCGAAATTACGAAACTTTTTAAACGCTTTCGCCGGAACCGCGGCGCAAATAGATTTCTGGTATATAGTATCATCTGTTGGCTGTGAATTATTTATGGAGGGTTGCGTGACCGCACGACAAAATGGAAAAAAAAAATTGAATTTAATTCGCCCGTTTCATAATGCGTCACGAGTTTACGACTATAGCAGGTAATAAAAGGTAATTAAAGTTACCTGTTAATTATAATCGTGCGTACACCGTATTTTATGACGTAACCGCAAAGCTAATGTACAAACAGTTTACCGGCAACTCCGAATCGTTTGAATTTTTTTTTTATATTTATAGATTTTCAACGGAACATGGTCATCACCCCGGGAACATCATCGGTATCTCCCGTAAACGTGTGTCAAGATGCTGACGTTGCACCTGTACCAGAATCCCGTACAATTTTTTTTCAGTCTTAGGATTGGCGTTTCTGTAAAGGTGTATTATGTTTAAAAATACGTATTTTTTTAATTTTTTTTTTTTTGGTAATTTTTGGTTATGACATAAACATATTGAAAATAAATAATTGTTATAACTATATGATATATATATGTCAATTTAAAATATTAGAATCAAGCAAAAGAGCCATATATCAGACACTTATTTTAGTTAAGAAACTATAACATAACATGATAATTATAATAAGATATCTGAAAATCTAAAAGAGCCGATACTGGGGACCGGTGAGGCCACTGTTGTAGATGAGAAGTTGGGAAGGTAGGATACAAGGTTATTCCAGTTATATCTGTAAACAACGATAAACCATTGCTGATGAAAGACGATTCCGAGCGCAGTACGGTAATACATAATTTGAAGTTCCATCATTTTTTTTAACCTAACCTTCTTACGTTTTTTGCTGATTATTATGAAAAGTAATTTCAAAATTAAAAAAACAAACTGCATCATTAAAAGCAAGATTAATAATTCAACAAAAAGTTCTTTTGTCGTTTTTTAATTAGAGCCATATTTGAGCTAGAAAACTTGGTAGATACTTAAAAATAACATATAAAATAATGAAATCGTGTAAAATAATATTTTTTTTCTGGGTTAATCGTTTTTATTTTAAATACCGTTTCGAAAATCAAAAAAATGACTGATGTATTTACTAAGCAGATAAAATTGACTTTCAGAAAAGGTGCTACACTTATACATCGGAGCAAGATTTTTTTGGATAAAAGTGGTCTATGGTATAAAGAAAAATAAAGTAGGTACCATTGTAAAAATATTAAAATCAGAAAAAAAATCGTCCAATGATTTTGGAAATTTTACCACGTCTAGGTAAGTCCAATATAAGTATTATTACTAAGTTTCAAGTCTCTGCGTTATTTATAATCGAATTATAGCAAAAAAACTCCCAACAATTAAAATTACTTAAAAAATCAAAAGTGGCTCAAAAGTTTTGGCGATGATACCACCATAAAGTAGATCAAAAGGCAACAGAAAAGGTGTCTTGTGAATTTTCGAGTAAATCATTTATTCTGGTAGAAACGTCGTCCATGTTTTTATAAAATAATGAAATCGTGAAATTGTACGTTTTCCTATGTTTTATCCTACTTAAGTGCTTTTATTTAAAAAATGGCGTTGAAAATTTTAAAAATTACCTCTATAAAGTACCATCTGGACAATATGTAGTTTTTAGAAAAGTTGCTACACGTTAAAAAATCAGAGCAAGTTTACTAAGAAAAAACGTGTCCACAGACTAAATGAAAAAAAAAAATTAATTTCTTAGTAAAACCAATAGCTCCCTCGCTACGCTCGGAATCGAAAATTCTCAAAATAAACACCGCAAAATATTACAGCTGTTTGATAACCAGTTTAAGATTGTATGACAAAAATTTCCCGGTTCATACAACAAATTGTCAACAGTTTGAACATTTTGAAATATCAATATAGTGGTTGTTATTACTTATGAAAGTATTAGACTGATTAGAACTAATTTTATGAAACTGTCTTTGCCAAGTATACAAATTATATCGTTTACATTCAATTTATTGTGTACATTATTCAGCTCTAAATCCTATTGTCTTTAATATTATTATTATATTCATTTAAAATTTAATTGTTCTTTTCCTTTAGAGGCTTTCGTAATACAAAATCAAGGATTTCATCCTTAGTGATGGGCAATTTAGTAAATTTGTAAATATGTATAGGTAAATGTGTAAACTTGTAAAAATCAATATTGATTTTTACTTAACATTTATCACTATGATTGTTAAAAAAATATATTGTAAACAAACTAAAAGAAAAATCAAAACAAATTGCAAACAAATATTAGTTATACTTAGGGCTGCCGGATTTTGAAATTCCCTAACCAGAACATGATATTGATTGACAATTATATAATTTTTCCTTATGGAAATACTTTTAATTACATATAAGTATTCCTTTTTTTTTATTTAGATGTTTGTTAATCAATACAAAGTTAAATTATTATTTATTAGTAATATTTTATTCCTACTATTTATAACATTAAATTTTTTTGATATATAAACTGTTATTACTGTTAATTTTAATGTATTTTTTTCAATAAAGTTTACCTATCATTTTTAATTTGTTCGTAAAATTTTTTACAAGTTAAAACAAAATAATTGTACAGATCATTAAGTTTCTACATCTGGGCACTGTATTCTCATTTATACTACCTCTTTTATCCGATCGATCAAGTGTTATTATTCATAAGTTCACTATTACTATTAACTGGGAAAAACTGAATGATCAGTTGAGACACCGGGTTATTTGTATTATTGATTGTTTTATTTTTATATATTTTTAACATATTTATTCTATGCCCGACAATAAACCAAAAAAAAAAATTATATATATATTTTTAAACACGCCAAGAAATTTGCTAATCCTAGCCTGGAAACGAATCATTTAGTTGAATAGGTAGTTAATTATAACTATAAGATGAAATGTAGATATTTTAACAATTACAGGACGGAATTTGGCAACTGTGCACTTACTTTTTCTTGCTATCGATGCATCCTGACAAAATATGCAACACGAGTAACTATTACATAGCGCGCGACAAAAAATAACGTATCTGAGAGTTGATGGGAAAAAATTCGGTTTCTGGATCATTTGAAACATTTCTTACTATTTTTAATAAAAAATATTCGTAATAAAATAAATATATTAATTACCATTGTTTATTAATACAATATTCGAATATTGATTGTATATTAAGATGTATTATTATTAATTAATTTGTTGCACAATTTAGACACATTATCAACAGAATTACAAAAAAAAAAAAGTTTCGTACTCTTTTTAGATTTTGAGTAATGAAGAATGTATTAGTTTTACAAAGATGTTTATTTTTATTTTTAAAAAATAAACATTTAAAAAAGTATTTAAACTCTGTATTCATATTATGAAATACATTACCGAACTTTTAAGAGGAAATAGTAGAATGTTTTTCTGTTTAATGGTCTATACAAACTAGAGCGGTAGCGGGGTAGCTGCAGCGAAATTGTTACGGTATCTAAGTGATTTATCGAACTAGAATAACATATTATAACAAAAATCGGGATAAATGGTTATTTTTGTTTTTTGATTAGATTTTTTTTTATGTTTTATCCAATGTTAAATTTAGAATATTTTTCTAGGGAGGGCTCACTTTTTTTCATTGATCATTTCGATGTAAATTAGAAAGAGTAAAGAGTATATTGTACATTTAATAAATACATTATGCTAAAAGTTATTTTTGTCAGGGCGGCGAATGAAATTCCAGAGGGGGCATTTGCAACTTCCTGAAGTATACTTGGACTTACAATACTGGTTCTATCACGCTCGTGTTTAAACTGACTGGGATAATTTTGTACTCCGCGCGAATAACCTTGTAACTTTTTGTGAATAGGTCATAAACACCACAGTAGTTATTTGTTCTATTGAAACATTGAAAACTGAATGTTAAGTATATTAGGTCTTATTTGAGGACGGAATAATTTTTTTTCTAGTCTTGTCCTCGACGAAAAAAATTCAAAATTATTTTTACTTTATGTTTATTTACTTTTTATTATTGTTTTGCCTAATAAATGTATTTTTAGTTGGCCAATTTTTTTTCATTGAGAAATTAGGTTTTACATATATACTAGCTGACGTGGAAATGCTTTTCCGTTGCTAGATAATAATGTAAATAATAATAATAGTAGTTATTTTCCGTGACAACCAAATTATCATTTGTATCACCAAGGGAACCCATGAATAGACCAAAATAATAAATACATTTACATAAGCAATTAGATATTTGTAAAAGAAATACATGATTCATGGCAATTGAGAATGGAATGTTACGTCAACATTTCAAAATGATTTGTAAACCGTTTCCGGGAGTTGAATCTAAGCACAAACCAACATAAAATTTCTAAAATTTTTGGTCAGCCATTTTTGGTTAGTGTCGGTTTTAGTGACTCAAATGCTCTTTGGAGAATATTTACATCAGTAAAATATATACTTTAATCGGTTAGTATTAAACTGTAGATACTCTATATAAATTAATCGAATTTACAATATAGGCTGTCGTTCGAAAATCAGAAGAAAGTAGGTAGTTGATTCATCATAGAAAATAAAGGTGATAAAAAATAAAGGTAATGTAATATTTTAGAGTTACTTTTTCTAAAATTATCAAAAAAAAAAAAAAAAATCAGAAAAAAGTTAATACTTTCCAAGATATCAACAATGATTATGATATTTAGTGTGATACAAATATTCTGTACCTAGATATATATTTGTTTACCTCGTCAATATCTGAAATGCTATGTATTATTTTTTATGTTTTAATAACGTTGTTACTTTGATAAAAAGTATATACAGTTTTAATTAAGGCGGTTTTCTGAAATGCTAATTTTGTTTTTTAATAATCTAGAATAATATAAGTATAATAATTAATTTTTTATTAGCGTACATAATATAAATTAACTTCAGTGTATCAAGGTATACAATTATTGAAAAAACAAAGTTCTTTTTAGATTTCATCCAATTGATTTGGGATTGCAAATAGTATTGGAGAACTAATAATTATATTATTATTATTATTATTATTATTAAATTATATATCATAATTTTAATAATTGCAAATAAATCTTAAATGATAGTACTGGATAGGGCTGTAGGAAGTAGGGATAGGCATGAAATTCGAATATCCGGAGTATCCGACTATCCGGATATTTAAATCCGGATTTGAATCATATTCTTATTAGGATTTTTTGGAATTATCCGGAATTTAAATCCGGATATGCCCATCACTAGCAGGAAGGTTAGGTGCCTACGCCCTGGGCGCAATACTCGTGAGAGCGCAGCAATATCTTAAACATCTTTAAATATTTTGTTAAAAAGAAATTAATAAACAACTAATTTGTAGTTTAGGAAATAAAATAAGTGATATAAGATAATTAAAACATTCTTGTGTTCGTAGTTTGAAAAATTCTTTCATTTTTAAATATACTCACTATAAAAATAAGGGTATGTTTTAATGCTACACGCCGGGCGCAGTATTTGGTTCTAAAAAATAGATGACTATGTGCATTTTTAAGCTTTCACATAAATAATATGATTGCTGATTCGATCGTAAAACTGATTTATACCGACGTATAATAAATAAACAAATATTTGGAAAATATAATAATTTAAATTGGTTAAAACAGTTTAAACAGTTAACATTGTCTATACACGGACGAACGTATATTTAAGACGAAATATGTACATTTTCGTTCAGCAAAACCGAATTTGTGTCGTGTTTTATGTATTGAAAATAATATTTTAGAAGAGATTGGTTGGGAAAATATCATATCATCCATATTTTTGCTACAAAAAAAGTAATACGAAAAAAAGTTATTTAAAATCAATTTTAATTTTAAAGTTTATATTTGTTTTTGTTTTTTTAAATAAAATTGAATAATTTGTTTTTACATTTAATTTTATGAATTTATCTTATTGCTGTAAATTTAGTACATTAAGCATTATTTATACAAATTAAGAAGTTATTTATATTTGTTAGTATACATATACTATAATGATTTCCAAAATTTACTCATAAACTATTATGGTACTCGGGGAATAAAAAATGTAAATTTAAAAATATAAAATATACCTTTTTAAGTTTTCATTTAAAGATCCAGAATTTTATATTCTAAGCTAAGCATGATTGATATATTTCGTTTTACAATAATGTATCGGTGTGTGCTTTTTGTGTATGTAGTAGCTCGATTTTCATATTATTTACTTTATGGATCAGACATTTTTTTTTCATAGTAACAAAATATCAATTATATTAGATATGATGATTTACTTATCGATTATATTGTATGCAGTGGCGTATATACAGTTTCTTTCTGAGTAGTGATGATTAAAAAAGAATCAGTGTCAGGCTGTCTGGGGAATTTGATCAACTACTTTTTATTTTCAGTAATGATCGGTATTGTGTGTGTGGGAGAGGGGATTTATGTGTCTGAAAAAAATGTGTGCTTCCGGTGGCATTTCACCTTAACACGGCACTGGATATTGGGACGGGGAGGTTGTCATAATATCGCAAGTGTATACCTAACCATAATACTTTTATCTCAAACTAAAGATATCGGTTCTTATCAAACAAATACCATTGAACATATTCAATTTTGTATTATAGTTTATAGATATTATATTGTTCTGTGGTATTATAGACATTGATAACAAGATTTTCTATAAGTCTATGATTATAGACCATGAACTATTAATCATGTTATAAAATAATATAGAGTATAAACTATAGTATTATAATATGACAGGGACTGTGCGAGTAATAATTTTGATAAACATTTTTTTCATTATTTTTAAAATATCTGCCTTATCTCTCATTCGGTTTAGGAGAACTGGCGAAAACGCAATTTTCAACCGGCAGGTAATACAGTTATTTCATAATGTTTAAACTACGTTTGTATTCGTAATGGTTAAGGAAGTGAAATTGCGGAATTTCGTTTTATTATAATTTTTTTTACCGCATATATCCAAAAAAAAAAAAAATAAAAACAAATTTACATTTCTATGAGAACATTATTACTGTTTGCAATGTGGCGAATTCATGAAATAATTAATTTTCCGTATATTGGTTTTTTTGTAAAACGCTACTTCTTTTATTTTATTTTAATCTGCCCCGTCCCATTGAGCTTGTTATATTATGTACCTATTTAATTATACGTAATGCGCTTTTAAAGATTTCTAAGAACTGTGCATAGATACACGTCGCGAGAATGTATATCTAGAAGAAACACGGAATTTAAATTAGCCGGAATGGTTCTTAGGAAATGATTTATTTCGTCGTTTTTGCCGTGGTGTAAATGCAGCCCGTAAGTATTATATAATATAATATACAATACTGTACAGTTTTCAACGAGAATACGTGTGGATAATGCATTATCACTTATAGCCTAACCTAACTTATAATTTATAAGTGCATTACCGAAACCGTGTAACATAATTCGCGAATTATGTCCGTATAATATATGATTGTTATTGTGGGTACTTGGGAGGGTATTCGGTTGCTGTTTATCCGATTTCGGCGAAACAGCCAATTTTAAAAGAAACCATACTGTTGTGATAAAATATAAAAGCAACGTTTATCGAATCACGCTATAGGCGCCATAAATATCCCAAGATATTACAACCAAAAATAAGTGTACGAAAAGTATTCCAAATTGAATAGAACCGTAATTTGTCTGGAGAATATTAATTACGGATATATTATTTAGGCCGAATATTATTTAATTCGAAAAATTTGTTTTTTTAAAACCGTATTCGTTCCGAAAAGTGTTTTAAACGAAAAATATTTCGTCCGAATTGTATTAAGCCGTGATATCAAAATTACATTTTTCTCATATTTTATATTTCTTTACAATTATTCAAACTTTCTCTGAAGGGTGGTGGATTACGTCCGGAGAGGGGTGCAGCCCCTTGGAGACATGCCTGAATGAAACACTGTCACCATGGATCGTCCGCAGTGCTGTTCCCTAAAAATCGTTAATCTCTACACTCTATAAAACGTATTTTCGAATAATCCGCATAAAATGTGCTACGCAAACCACAAGATTCGATCAACGCCTCAAAACAGTCACTTTAACGACTAGGTATAAACTCCATTATGTAAAATGCTAGACAAATGTCTACTAAAATGAATATTGTAATCGATTTATCATCTGCACATTTGAATACTTTTGTAAATGTTATCGAACTTCACATATAGGCTAATAACCTGAACTGTTGAAAGCATTAAAGTCTTATTTCGTTTAATAACAAATGAAGAAAATAGCCCAATTTGAAATGTTCACTTCAGATATTTCTGCCGGTACACTCAGCGGTGGCGTTAGGGTGACTCGCGTATATAACTTTTACAATTTCAGTCGCTGATAATTCAATTTCAGCATTACGAACTCGTTCCCATGAACATAAAGCAAAACACAGTATATTAATAAATGGGGAACATTTTTCTTTTCCATTCTTATTTCTCCGTACTTACGCGACGACCACTTACAATACTTAGGTTTTTTATCAAACGTAGGTGCGGTACCGTCTACGTTTTATACGAAATGCTGCAGGATTCGCAAGCCGAGAGCCAATTTACTTCCGGCGACTTTGTGTTATATTCCGCATAAAGGGAAAAAAAGCAAACGAAATTTACGTTAATTCTATGCAAAGCTTTTTAGTGCACGCACGTAAACCCACGGCTGATATACTTACTGAAGTTTCCCAAGGGGATTTATTATCCGGTCGCCGTCACGGTATAAAAGACAAAGGTTATATTATAATGGTGTTTACATTATTACTGATGCCTCCCCAAAACGTCCATGTTATATTTGCGAAACACTCTGCGGTGTTTTTAACAACGTGGCCGGGCTTTCGAAAGAAAATACCGAAAAATCTGTAGGTAAACTCTGAACTGTGGAGTTTAGGTTGTTTATTGTAATAAATACATATCTAATCATTATGATAAGTTTATGAATTAAATTATAATGTATAAATAAATTTGACTTATTTCAAAAAACTGTTTAAGTATATACATAAAGATGGTGACTGTCTTTGAAAAAAAAAAAACAACAGAATCCAAAATAGATATTCCATCTGCTAGGCACACGAATAGAACACCGCAACGGTGGTGGACAATCGACACACGAAAATCAATATGACAAATCGTCAATGATAATTATTAATTATTAGTACTGTCGACACGATGGTCATTGTAACGTAAATATTGAATAGACAAATCATATGCTGACGATACTGACATTTTAGAACGGTGATATTATAATATAATATTATTCACGACTGCTGATTCTGTTGACAATTGTACCACGCTCAGATTGTTCTAATATTATCTAATTTCAAAAAAAACAAAAACAAAATATAAAATAACAGGAACTGTTATTGGGTAAATATTACTCCGACGTTTTTTCTGTTTTTTAAATATTAAGTAAAGAAAACCACAACGATTATTAAAAAATTACCTCCACAATGCACGAACTAGATAACACTGTCTACCAGAAATCACTTCAGATATTGATTATCGGAGCAAGATTTCTAGTAGAAAATTTGTTGAAAGTCCCCACTAATATTAATAGTTTTCTTTATCTGCATCACGCCTAATATAACGAAAAAGTCGCACATTTAATATTGTGGCTTTCTAGTTGAGTTTATGGAAAAACGACCTATTATTCATTTTATAAAAAAGAGTTTTCCTAAAGCTCTTCGAATGAATTTTTAAGTATCTTCATTTTTAATAAGTTATTGGTAGGGAACGAATTTATATATCTACTATAAATAAAAACATATGTACATAAATATAAAAGTATTCTTTATAAAATATATGCTAAAAATGTTAAAATACGGAGGGGGGAATGTTTAATTTGGTTTTAATTTTTCTATCGTTGATGAGACAATTTGCATACCATTATTTAAGGACATATTTTTTATGCAAGTTAACGAAGAAAAATATATATGTATAGCAGTTTTTGTTCACTGCAACATGGCTTGAAAACGTTTGAATTATGAAATGATAAAATATGTTTAAAAATATTTACAAATTAGTGAAATAAATAAAAATATGTAAAATAAAAGTGGCGTAATTTTAATAAGAATGATTTTAATCGTGACTATTTCTTATCAAATCTTAAATATATAGTTTTAATAAAAATATACATTTACATATAAATCCGTTTTTTATTTATTATAGTATAAATTTAATTTAATTAAAACATGCGTACAATAAGTCCCTTTACTCTTAATTCAACCAGGTATTCGTAATCGTGGAAGTACAGAATGCTGTTTCTATATTCTGTTACTTTATTACGTGTGAGGCAAACAGAGAAAATAAATTTCATCATGATGCCCCTTAAAAGGGCATTTGCTTAATTTCGTAAAATTTGAAATTTTTGTTACACATTAATAATATGACTTTTTCACAAATCTACTGCGCGATGCCCATTCAAGTGGAATGAGAACGGCTCTTTTGTGTTATTTATGAACATCAAATAGATAACAAAGCGTAAACGTAAATATTTTTGTATTTTCAGTAGTACAAAAATTAGGTAGGAGCATTTTTTCAATTTTATCAAATTATTTACGAGAAAAAAACGTTTGAAATATGTACAATTTGTCAATTTTTAATAGTAACAAATTAAATTTTAATTTTAATTTAAAAAATAAACTTCGACCGATACCAAGTAAACTTATTAGTTATTATTAACTCATACATCTTTACATTTTTAAAATCAAAACACAGTAAATATCTCAATTTTTGTCATGTGTTTAGATATTTTTGACAATATTTTCACGAGTAGCATTAATAGATAAAACAAAAAAAATAAATAAAACACTCATCATAGAAAATCTAATATCATTCTTTAATATATACGCTCAGAAACTAAATAAATTAAATAAACATAAATATTAATATATATACAGTGAAAACATTTTCTAAATAATTTCTATTAATTTATTAACATATTAAACTAAGTACAAGCATATAATATTATAATAATGCTGATTTTTTTATTTTTATAATATCATAAACGTATACAATATTATAATAATATAATCTTTTTATCTGTATACAAGCATATTTGGTACCAATGATTTGTATTATTATTGTTACTATATTACAATTAATACTTATTACAATATAATGAGTTTCGTTTCCGTGAAATCGGCTTCTTCTTAGTTATCCGTACGCTCCATCGTACAAACATACGCGTGTGGATAAAAAATAAATAAAAAGTAGTAATAATAATATTATACTCGTATAATAAATGACAGCGAGAACACCGTGATACTCACGCACCGGTTGCATTATACTCGCATTATACATTAAACCACTGGCACAACTAGTTTTTTCAAATGGGGAGGATCCCAAGACTTATATTAGTATCAAAAAATTGTTAATTACTTTCCGCACATCATATTCCAGATTAGATAAGTAATTTGTATGTAATAGGGCTCGTAAGTTTTACTTACATATTTGACAGGATCCAATGAGAGGCGTCTACTCCCCTTGAGATCCCTCCTCCCTCTCTGTAGACTCCTTCCTCACCGGTTGTGCTATTGTAGATGTAACCTAACAAGCTATAGGCTATTTTAAAAAAAGCAAACAATTAAAAGGATATCAATTTTTTTTTTTTTACAATATTTTATATGAAAATAGCTACGTACTGCCCTCTAAAATATTCTCCTCATTACATTTTCTTATTTGCATTTAAACCTAATTTCAACTTGTTACAATTTATATTCTACGTAATGTAATTTTGCTCATATTCAGATCGAAACAATAAATGCTGGAGTAGTGTTATTAAATTGTTATTAGACATTTTTAAATTGCTAGTGTAGGGCTATATTATAATTTGATCACGTAGATGTTAAAAATACTGCCCATTTTTTTTTTTTTTTTAATTAAATTTAGTTTTTTCAACACATTTTTATTTTTACAACGATTTTAACTATTATAAGTTACAAATATAGTATAAATAAAAAAATAAATATATATTTTTTTTAAATATGAAAATAAACTATGTCACTGAAAACGTAATATTGTGTATATTCATATCCATTAAGTAATTGAAAATTAATGTTAAGCTTTGGATTTTTAAACAGCGCATTTTTACAAACAACTCGTTTGCATTAATTATAAATTTAGAATTTAAAAAAAAAAGATCCTAAATCGATATTATATTATAATAGGTTGGTATACTTACATTGTATTATTTTAATTTAAAATTAATTTGAATTTAATTAACCTTCCTTTGTACAAAATAGTACGTAGAAATACAAATACGTTCTCATAAAATTAAATTCCTAATCTTTGTATGGCATTACGACTGCTTCCAATTAAAAAAAGATTTTTAAATTTTCTTTTACGTTAAAAAAATAAAATAAAATACGAGACCAATCTTTCTGTTGGAGAAAAATGTTTAAAAAATAATAATTTATAAGAAATAAGATTTATCGTATTTTGGTAGAAAAAAAAAACAAACGCTTTCGTGCTAAGTTTTGAGTGTGGTTAAATTTGACGCCGGTCACGTTTCCTCTGATTGAACAATATATAAGTAATATGATATAGGGATTCTGAAAACGAGGATTTGATTTCAATATGAAGTTTACTCGGCTATAGGTATCGAATTTCTCGTATTTTCGATACTTAATACTACAACTCGTTCCGAGTATCCAATAAATCAAATATATCTTTAAAATTACAAGTTTCGACTCATATGTTCACAAAAATGAATTCCAACAAAAAAAAAAAAAGAATTATCTTTTGTAAGGTGGGTAAATCGATTTCAAAGTAAATTCAATTTTTTTTTCTAAATCCTTGTGGTGGCGTACTTATACCATAATCCCTATCCCATAATATCTCTCTTCTTAATATGCATAATAATACATATTTTAAATGTTTACAAATGTTCAAAAATAAGCCTTATCCTCCTACAAGACAAAATCTTTTAACCGCCATGATAACGATAGTGGTTTGAGGCCGATTGGTATGTCCGATATGAATATGAAAGTCCGATTGGACTATTATATTCATGAGCAAAACTACGCGAATTTTAATGCGAACGACGAAGTTCTTCGTAAAAACGTATAATATTTAATATAACTTTCTGAATTGTTTAATGCCTCGTGCAGTGATAATATTTTCGATCAGATAACCGGTCAACTGATGTTTCTCTTAAAAAAAAAACTTCTTGTTTAATTTTCTATCATTTTGGCCATATCAAAACAAATTTCTCTAGATAAATTGAAAAATAGTGAAGATGATAGTGAAATAATGACGAAATATTTACGATTTTTATCAAATTATGATAAGCTTTGTGTTAAATTTTCATAAATTTTAAGCCAAAACAATTTTATCCACAAAAAACTAAATAAAAACTTAATAAACTTGATATTTAAAATAACTTTCAATAAATTTAAGAAATTGTCAGTATACTTTGAAAAATATCACGCCTAAAACGGAGCATGATTTCTGGTAGAAAAACGAAATAAATTTAACTATGTACTTACCTACCCAGCCGTCTCTAATAAATTATTCACGGTAAAAGATCAAAACAAAAAGCATAGATCCGTGTATCTAACACTCAAGATTATTATAATATCATAGTCGAATGTTATCATCTAATTTTTTTTTAAATTACAATACGTCGGTATTCGATATATTTTGAACGGAGAATGGCCGATTTTATAAATCTGATAATATTATAAACAAAGTAATTCCCCTCGTATAATCTTCATACTGTTGTAGTGTTGACGCTTACTATGTTGACATTAATTATTATTAGATCAACTGCAGTGACATCGAACACTTACAATGTTTGTAGAGCAAGTAATTAAATTACTGTTGCAAAGTACTTATACTTATCTTTATACA